AATCTTATTCCAAAAATAAAGTGTGTATTGTTTTAAAATGGGCTATTCTACAAAATATTACATTTGAAGTACATTCATTACATTACAATTACTATTGCTTCTTTTTACTCAAGTTACAGATATTCATACTTATTCTCCGCAGGTTAGAAAAATATATTTGTGACGGTGCTCGCATGTGGTTTACATTGGGTACATATAGTAAAGTCTCCAAACATTATACTATGCAACAATAACTGCTTCTGTAGCTCTGTCCGCTGAGTGGCTTGTTGGCTGGGCATGAGCTGATAGCATTTGACTGACTGACCTGAATCCTGCTCCTGATGAACACATCTTGTGTTTCCTCCTCGCACAAGCAAATCCCCGTTCCATTAGTCACATTACGGCAGTGTGCAGTGGTAATGGCTGTGGAAGAGTGTAAGCTGCCATTTTTCTACAGATGGAAAATACTTTTGTGCCTCAAGAAGTTGCGAAAGTCAATCAAATGAAATGTTTACATGTACTGTAGGAGCTTTGATGGAAACACAGGGGGTATTCCACCATGGGAGCGTAGTGCTTCTGTGAATTTATGTAAAATCAATACTTTTAAAATAGGTTGTCCTCTTTCTGACCACTGGTCAAATCTATTACATGCCTGTTAAATGTTTCTAGATGTTCAACTTATCTCGCCACTGAGGGGTTTTTTCCTCCCCCTGTGTACAAGAGCCCAGTTTCCCAAAAGCATCTCAGGATTATAACCATATTTGTTCAGCTAATGTTTCCATTGGCATGTTTCCATCCCAAGATGAGTGTTGTGCATGCTGAGATATTTTGGAAAGCAGGGCCAGGTCGAGTGCCAGTGGTTCATTTGACAGCGTGAGCCCCGGCGTTTGGTTACACTTAGACCCTATGATATTGCTCCTGCAGAGAATCTCAACATCTGCAGCTGCTGTCTTTTTAGATACTCACTTTCATATAAAGAACCATTAGAATTGGGACGGGAAGAGAATGATGCTCCTTCAGCTGCAGGATGTAAAAGAGAGCAAGTTTTCACAATAGTAGGAGAGGAATATTATGAAGGCAGCCTTCTTTGCTTCCCTGGGAGTGCTTTCTCACTGTGATAATGAAATGACCTGGACTGCACTACCCCTCTCTCTCTCTCTCTCTCTCTCTCTCTCTCTCTCTCTCTCTCTCTCTCTCTCTCTCTCTCTCTCTCTCTCTCTCTCTCTCTCTCTCAAAAACACATCTGCCAGACGAGGGTGAAAATGAGAAAATCCTACCTCCCTCTCCCGAGTTCCGTAAAGCATACTTTCAATATTCTTCTTCACAGACGATGATGGGAGTGTGTCCCTGCGAGTGTTGTGGATTGCTGCGGCTGCATGTATTCGGTGGAGTGTGAGGTTTTTCAGATGCTGGCACCAGTCTTGAGCAACTTGTAATAAACTGTATTTGAAGTGCATCTGACATAACAAGGCGCGATACAGAAATTCAGTGGGTAGAAATCCCATAGAGTTGTCGCCGTAACCGTGTTTTTGTAACTTCATTTCTGTGGCTTCGCACGCAGCGAAATCAATACAGTAAGCAGCAAAACTCAGATCAAGGACTTCAATTTTGTCCCGTTTCAAGGTAGAATCTAATATAGCGAAGTACAGTCCCCCACTGTTCTCAGCGAATCGTTTAGGCCTCGCTAGACATCGAGGCCGTACTACACTGATTCAGAAGAATGACTCACCAGTTTGGTACAGCACAGGCTGCATGCAGACCATGTATTCCCTCAGCTTCTAGTTAGCAGGGAATCTATGGCAGCACTGAGGCAGAGCACTGTCATTGAGTTACATAATCAACAGAGAAAGGAGTGTAGCAGCATGAGTGTGTGTGGGAGTGCGTGTGCCCGTGCATTCGTGAAGCCGCAGTTTCTTTTGAGCTGTCGATCATGTGGTACGCCAAGGCCACTCCAACACGAGGCTGCTGAGGTGGACTTTCAGCAACAATGGAGCTTAAGCCTATGTGTGTGTGTGTGTGTGTGTGTGTGTGTGTGTGTGTGTGTGTGTGTGTGTGTGTGTGTGTGTGTGTGTGTGTGTGTGTGTGTGTGTGTTTTTTGTAGAGGCATATGCGAGGATGAATAGGCTGAGAAGAAAAAGGCTCACTACATGCGAGGTATTAGGTGTGCAGGCTGAGAGATGAGCCAATTTACCGAACATGCTGCCTCACAAGGATACATTTACACATTTACATATTCTGTGTGTGTGTCTGTGTGTGTGGGTGGGTGGGTGTGCGCTCTCTTATTTGTATCCTGTTGTATGTTTCTATGCACGCTTGGATGCATAGACCTATTTGTGATTTTGCACTTGCTAAGCGTGTGTGTATTATAAACCTTAATGTCCAGTCATGTAAGACCACCCACTTCTGCATGTGAGTGTGTGCACATGTGTTTATAAATCTACACGTCTGCATCTATTTCTGTTAACGTAGATTTCTTTCTCGTACTGCCACTAAGCTGAAGAGAGCTCCATGTATTGTCTGAGTATTGCATTGCTTCTGCTGCTCAATGATGCCATCTGGCTTTGGCTGACACCACCACATACATCCTAGGGGAGCGATCCGTGCAAGTCAGCGTCTGGTTTTAACAACTGTTTTGGGATCAGTTGTCCAGTGGGCTGGTGCTAACTCACCCCATTATGAGCAGGATGATAAAACTGACCTTGAAGCAGTTTATGGGCTCTGGATAATGGAAACCACTGATAGAGAGCCCATGAAACTCCACTCAGCTTTCAGTTACAAAGGAAAATAATGGTTTAACCACTTAACATTATTTTTGAACTGTGTCTAAAAACGTGTGAGAGGACGTTCCCGCGGCTCAATGACAAATGAAGAGACGCGGGGGGAAATGATTAAGGGGGTCGTCTGGGTCGGGAAAATGGGAGGGAATTGTCATTTTTATTGTTTTGGGACGACATTGGAGGACCTTTTATGTTTGTCATATCCACTTTTTATACTTGAATTTAGCCCTTCTTTAACAGTTACATCAATAAGATTACTGTCATGTGTGCCATGGATTTTAAAAGTGTGCAAGTGTTGTATATTCCTGCTTTTAAAGGCTGCATTACAGTCAATTCATTCATTTTCTAGTCAGGCTGATTAACGGACAAAGGGACAGTGTCAATAACATTAAATTACCCTGAGTTTAATTGGTTTTTCAGTTTCTGTCTGAATTAAAGAGAGAGACTTCAATGGAAATATTATTAACTCTGGCGAGGTTCTTCATTTTACTTAAAAGTAGAACATAAAATAAGTTGGAAAAAGATTCCATAAATCTCAGTGCAGAGTGAAATTAAGACCAGGAAATATAACCTCAGAGGGTCAGTGGCGTCATACCGTGGGTTAAAACCGCTGCTTGCATATAAAACCAGTGGAGGTGGAACACAATTAGGTCAGATTGAGGCCAGACCATTTGTATGGGTCACAGTAAAAGCGCTCATATGTATGCAGGCTTATAGGACCCATGGGAGCACTGGGCCGACCTTGTCCCACACTCTGATCTATGTCCTCATCTCCCCCTATGTCCTCTTTTCCTCATTCCTCCCCCAGCTTCCTTTTTTATCACCATTTCTTTCCCTTTCAGACCTCCCCCCTACTTTTTCCTCTTTCTTTGACCGTTTTTCATTAGTTTCTCTTCTTTCTCGCCCTGTTTGGTTTCATCCCTCCTACTTTTCTATCCAGCTTGTTTTTTATTCCCATCCCTCTTTCTCTCTTTCACTTTCTTTTACTCATTTTAACTCCCTTTTTTCCCATTCGCCAATTCCTTTATCTCCACTCGTCCTTTTTTCCATATCAACAGCCAGTCTGATAAATAATGCATCACAGCACATTAAAGACATTAGCAGGGTTCTCTCTTGGCTGTCAAAGAGAGGGAGGAGACGAGGGAGAGGAAGGAATGGGTAACTCCGTTTTAAATAAGTGCTATGGAGAATGATGTGATTTAATATCAGCTGCAGAAAAGCGCCGGGGAAAGGGTGAAGGTCCGAGCGTTAATTGTGTTTGCGCCCTGACACCGTGTCCTCTCGCTCAAAGGTTTTCGCCTTTGGTGAATCATCTGAAAGCCCCGGGATTCATTAAGATGATGACTGTATCAGCAAAGTCTGAGGAAAAGATTTAATGACATTTAGCAAAACACTGATGCTGCATCACACAGAACCTTGACCTTTCCCTCCGCCCCTTTCATCCTCAGCTTTCTCCCTTCCTCTCTCCTCTCCTCCCCTTTTCCTCCCCCCTCCATCCTTCTATCCCTCCTGGCAGCATGGCGATTGGCATTATTAAAAATTGATTGGCGGCGAGCGTTTAGCAGGGTGGTGAGGCGGAGAGGGAAGGTTTGACAGGCAGGAGTGAAATGAAAGGAGGCCCTCGGCGGACACAATGTGGAAAGGTCTCACTGGGGGACAGACAGTGGTGTGTGTGTGTGTGTGTGTGTGTGTGTGTGTGTGTGTGTGTGTGTGTGTGTGTGTGTGTGTGTGTGTGTGTGTGTGTGTGTGTGTGTGTGTGTGTGGTGTGTGTGTGTGTGTGTGTGTGTGTGTGAGTGTGTGTGTGTGTGCCGTGCGTGCGTGCGTGCGTGCGTGCGTGCGTGTGTGTGTGTGTGCATCCACCTCAATATATCGGAATAGTCCACACAGATCACATCCTGACTGCACACGGCATCCAGAAGCATCCCTAGAGAGCATTCACAGTCACTCTGCTGACCCGGAGTTACCTCTCCACCATCCCTCTTTCTATCGTTCCCTTCATCCCTCTGCCTATCCCCCCTTTCCAACCCTTCTCTCTCCTTTCATCTCACATCAAATAATATTTCCAACCCATACTCCCAACCAGCTATTCCCCCAATGGCTATAAATGCTTCAGCTTTGGAGATTTTCAATACACTTTATCCGCAATTTGGCTGAGTGAAAACTTTTTTTGGGGGGGGGGGGTAAACCATGCGCTATGACATGAGTACATAATGCTAATTCTCTCTTTTTCTCTCTCTGTCACAGATGAACAGACCAATCCAGGTGAAGCCAGCAGACAGCGAGAGTCGAGGAGGTAATGTCTCCCCTTCTTTCTATTCCTTTGTCCCTTTTCCTGCATTCCTTCCCTTTGTTTCAGCCCTACAAACATGCTGCCCCCGCGTATCAGCCTCACTATTATCCCTCCCCTGAGACAGCAGGGCCTGGCCGGACCCTCCAATATTTAAAACACTTCATGAAAACAGTGTTCCTGCTGGCGTGTGCTGCCCTTTTCAGCTCCTTTCTTAGAGTGTCATCATATCTACTGATGCAAGCACTATGCACTTACAGACATGGAAACATGCGAGTCATGTCACGCTTGAGGGGAAAACAGGTCACTTATTTCTGTCAAACACTTTTAATAACGCTGTCTGAGTCCTATTTGACTCGTGTCACAAGTTCCTATCAGCCAAATGAAGTGCAGATTTAATTGACAGATCCGCGTGAATGGAAGTGGATGTCTTGTAATCTGTGTGTCTGTACTGTATTGACAGCTAAGACAGCACATTTTCTAAGTCTAGACATGTAGTGACCCGCTGCTGACATCAATCAATGGACTATTCAAGGGAAGATTGATGCAGTTTGATCGTTTTTGGCTGGAGTCTTTCAAACTTTGCAGTTGTTCATATAATTGGCACCAGAGCGATTCTTCAGTCGTAAGAAAGACGGAGGGAGAAAAGAGTGGAAAGAAAGAGGAAATAGAGCATGCATGGAGTTGAAGGTTGATAAGCAGAGAGAGAAAAGGACTGAGAGAGAGGTGTTGGCCTGTAAAGGAAAAAAACGAAGGAAAGGAAGAAAGATTGTGTGACATCCTCTTCCATTTAGTTTGGTGGTGCTGTGAGTATGATTGATGGAGCAGGAGGGAACAGAGGCGAGCACCGAGCCTGAGGAAGCAAAGTGAGGCCAATGCAGGCCGTCTATACCTCTGTCTGTTATGTGGGTCTATCTTTCTCTGTATGTACGTCCTCAGCCCACATCTCCTCTCCTCGTCTGTTCTGCACAGTTTTGTCAATATTATTTCTTCTTCATTTCTCTTCTCTATCCCTTGGATGTTTTTCTCAGGCATGAAGGCAAAGCTTCATCGTACTGTCAGGGTGTTATATTTTAATTGCAATGGTAGAAACACTAAGATCCTCCAGTGGTACCAGTACAACAATAAAAGGGAAAAGTGCTCCATTTCCAATTCTACTGATGTAAAAGTATAGGAGTATCAAAAGTTTTAAAAGTATAGGTACTTGTTCTGCAGAAAATGTTGCCTATTATTAGATGGTTGTTAATGTGGCATCAGTGCAGGTATTATTTTACTGTTGTAGCTGGTGGAGTTGGGGATCATTTGTCATATAAAGTTCATTATTGGAGTCATGATGTTAGTGTTTTGGATATTTTATCTGGACTTTTATGAAATGAACAGATAATAGAGTTTAGTTGTATGAGAAGACAGGGCTGCACCAATAATATCTCTCGAAATGTAGACAATACCCTCAAATTGTACCTTAGTTACTTTCCTTCAATGTGGAATTGATAGTTTTAGGGATATTTGAATGCTGCTTTTATTGAGTGCTGTGCAGCAAAATAATATTTAAATAAGTTCGTAATAAACTTTATAATGTTAGAAATACTTCTGCCTACTAAATATTTAATCAGAGCGAAATAAGGGAGTCAAGGTGTGTGTGTGTGTGTGTGTGTGTGTGTGTGTGTGTGTGTGTGTGTGTGTGTGTGTGTGTGTGTGTGTGTGTGTGTGTGTGTGTGTGTGGTTGTGTGTGTGTGTGTGTGTGTGTGTGTGTGTGTGTGTGTGTGTCCTCACCCTGGATGTGCGCTCCACTCTTGTAAACTGTCCACCCCCCCTCCCACAATGCAAGGCCGGAGCGCAGATTAGTCTTGTTGACTCTGCAAGGACACCCTGTCAGGCAGCGGCAGTGGGGAACGGACCCTTAGCATGCACACACACATACATACACACACATAGACAACCGCACCTTCACACACGTTCATTTGCGCATTCAGAGGCACTTGCACCGAGGCTCATTAATTTCCCAACATATACATCCATTTCCACAAGTCCCCGATTCTGTGCAACGTAAAAACAGACGGCCTAGCACACCGACACATCTGCTACTGTTGTGCGCTAACACACTTTCACCGTCTGCCTCACAATCCCACTCAAACACTCATTCAGTGACTCAATCATGCTGTCATGGTGAATAATGAACCCGTGCTGGACCTCAGTCTGGCTACATTTGATCAAAAATAAATTACATTTATGTCTAATTATATCATCCGATGATTCTTTATGACAGTCTAAAAGTTTTTTGAAAAGTGGAAATTAGTTATTGGATTAAGGCAGTTTTTCTTCCACTTTTCACAAAATGTTCTCAAATGCCAACTTTGACTTCAGGAAAGAAGAGGACAGCAGTTGCCATGTGCAAAAGAGTGGTTGCTATGATATGTGTCTAAAAAGAGAAATACGCAATGAAATGTGTTAAATTGGTGCTCGGTGGCTTTATAGCATGAACATATGATACATATTTCCAGTTACATAACGTGTCCCTTTACAGAAAGTGGGCATTTTATTTGTATTTGTTTTCCAGTATCCATGTTGGGGGAAAGTGTGCTAATCACTTCCTGTGTAAATTCCAGTTTTCCCCTCATGCAACCCCACAATCCCGTAATTGTCTGCTGGATTCAACATAACCTTTGACTTATTACTTGTTATTTCTGTTGGAGTATATTTATTTTTATCTAATTTATTTCTCCGTGAAACTTGCGGCCTCATTATTGTGCAGCAGGCACTAGCATCCTGTCTGCGATGCATATTTAATAATAATAACAATCACATGTAAACAGAGCCCCGCGGACAGACTTGCTGTGGAACTTAACTTAGACTTCCATTACATTTTAATCATGTTCTGACCTGAGGACAGGCACACCGGCACGTCTGCCTGTCTAATAACTGTGACAGGCACAATTCCTCACAGGTTGTACTTGATGTACTGAAATTGGCCGATTAGCCTGATAAGAGAGACCCAGGGATTGTCTGACAAGCCATTGTTAGCCTCAATGTATTTGTCATATCAGACAGAAACATCAGGTCAAAGAGTCACAGAGATGTTGTCTCTCTTTATGCCATGTACTGATAGCTATGTGAACATAAAATGTGATCGAAGAAAAATTGAAGACTGGATTTACCATTCCCTTTTTTTTTGCAGGATTGAGTTCACATATATAATATCTAAGATAAACTACAGATAATAGTTTATTCTTCTATCACTTTTAAATATAATACAGTACCACAGCTCTATTAAATGATGTTAAGATTTCACTAAGATTGCTTTTAACACTGCTTGTCTTGGAAATGTTTTACCAACTTAAATGGCCTTCTTTAAATGTAAGAAGACACATGCATTGGCTTCAGCTGATATTTAAATGCATTTATCTTAACTATCCCCCTTATTTAAAGCAGTATTTTGTACCCTACTCACCAATTCATCAAGTTAGACATTCTGTTCAGATTTATTTCTCTGTCCCCTCTGCAAAAAAATTGATTGGCAGAAGAGCGTTCATGTTCAAAGCCCCAACTGACTGGAATACTTTACCTGCTGCTATTAAACCCGAGGTGACAGGGCTTTCAGTGTTGCAGCTCCCAGACTGTGGAACAGCTTCCCAGCACATATCCGGACTGCTGAGTCTATTGAACTTTTTAAATCTCAGCTAAAAACTCACCTCTTTGCACTGGCTTTTAATACTAGTTGAACATTACATTTTTATATTTGTATGTGTTTTTTTTTGTTTGTTTTTTATATGTTTCTAGTTATTGTGCTTTTTATTATGTTTTTAATTCTCCCATTGTGTTATTTAATATTGTAGTTACTGCCTGTACAGCACTTTGGTCAACTGAAGGTTGTTTTAAATGTGCTATATAATTAAATAAAGATTGAGATTGATTAGATCTCTTGCATCATTGGGTATATTTAAACATGCATTGTTATCTCACTTTCAACTGGTCTGTACTTGTTATTAACTGATATTGATGAAACTGATTTGCTCGACTGTCTCAAATTGTAATGATTGTGTGCTTTGCTTGAATTTCACTTAACAGACTGTATGTGGTTTGTCTTGTGTGTCATGTTTTGCATTTTGTCTTTTTGTTTATGTATGTCTGTAAGTTGTTGCTATTGTCGGGACCCCCTAGAAACCGAGATGGTGCATCCCAAGGGGTTTATCCCAATGAATACATTTCTATATACATGACATTATTACAAGCCAAAAATTCTGATGTTATGGAGCAAGATACCACGGATAAAGAAATTGAATAATTGGATAACTTCAACATTCACTCGACCTAACCATTTAGCAATATAAGCAGTTGTTTTTTATATAATAATAAAGACACAATAACAAAATGAAAATAGAAGTTCTAAAACAAGTCAGTGCTGTATGGCATGAGCGAGCATCTTGTTGTTATTATCAGACATTGAAATGCAGCACCATGACCATCTGGGACCAGGACTCACGCTGAGGGCACGGCGCCAAGCGTGTTCCCACAGGACAGAAAAAAAGATTTTCTTGTATTGATCATGATTTAATCTAACACTACACATTTGTAATGGAAATAGAGAGAGGAAAATAGGTCCAAACTCAAAAAACCAGCTTTACTAGGAATACATGTTTTACAAGGACACTTTTGCTGCTTTTACTTTTTAAATTCTACATGTTGTTTACGTGACATAATTTCAGCATCTGTCACTGACTTGTTATGAGCATTTTAATTGTCATTTTATTGTTATTGCACTGCTGATGTTTTCCAGATGGAGATGAACACCTACGTGTGACCATGAACCCTTAGCATACTCATCAAGAAAATGTAATTTAAGCAAATAGCTTCAAGCCAATGGCGTCATTTAAACAAGTGAGATCTAAAGATGTGAGAAGAAATGGATGGATAACATGTGTTACTTGGAAATCATATACAGTCTCTTTTATGACATTTTGCATGCAGGTACAGTAAGGATGAAAAAAGCTGCTATTTCAGTGAACATGGCGTGCCTTTATGTAGAATGTCAAAAGGCATCTCTGATCCTCTGATCGTGACCTATTCCTTTTCCTATTAGAAGACAGAAAGCTCTTTGTTGGCATGCTCAACAAGCAGCAGTCAGAAGATGACGTGCGCCGCCTTTTCGAGTCCTTCGGCAGCATCGAGGAATGCACCATCCTCAGAGGTCCCGACGGAAACAGCAAAGGTGAGTTTTATGACTTTGAGCCAACAGAATTTTTTTCACAGGCTACTGCACAGAAATGATTTGGCCTTTCAAAGTTGGTGACTTTGCAAAGTTCTCCTTAAACACACCATGTTGAGTGATGTCAAAGCGGGCACATTTCACAATCACCCGAGGTGCGGTTACATAAGGAAACTAGTTTCTGTGTACATTTCCAACAGCAAATGCCATTTGAAGGCTTTGCCCACAGGGATAAGAGATATACCACCAACTCTTCACGGATGAACCCCATTAACCTTACATGGCTCTAATGAAGAAAGAAAAGCTTAGCCAACGGCCTTACTAACCACCAGGCTTCATGTCATGCCAAAAGAAATGTCCTTTCGATATTTTGTCAAAGTGTAACAAGTTCAATGCATGAAGTTCATCAGCGGGTTTAGCAACCAATCAATGGGGTCCGATGATAACTAAGCCTGATGATTACAGTGGGCTTGATCATTCTGATTCGTCCGTGAAGCTCCATTAACAAGGCCTCATCCGCCAGCTTACTCTGCTAAGTGGGCTTTAGCTCAATAATTACTGGGAAGTTGATCATTCAAATTCATCAACGGGGCTTGTCAATAGTAAGCGACACCAGAACGCTGTGGCATTTTAAGCCCCATCCGAGGATCACAAAGTTGTTAATGGTGTCAGAGTGGGATGTTTTGCCCACTTATTGAACGTGGATCTCAGCAAAGAGGGCTTTGTTTACTGAATGTTAGTTGCTAGTGGGAAACTTTTCCAAGGTGAACAATATCACAGGAAATGTTTGTCTTTTGTCTTGTTACCGTTAATGTTCTGCGGTGATACAGTGTGAGCAAACTCCTCTTTTGCTCACACTGTTTTGTTTCCCTTTACTAATGTTCTCCCTTCTCACTCTCTCTTTAGGCTGTGCGTTTGTAAAATACTCTTCTCATGCTGAAGCTCAGGCCGCCATCAGTGCGCTACACGGCAGCCAGACAATGCCTGTGAGTACATCCTAACTGTGAGCATGTAGATTTATGTGAGAGAGGTGAGTCACGTAGAGCAGTGTTTCTCAAACTTTTTCATACCAAGGACCACTTAACCAATAAAAAAACACTCGAGGACCACCTAACTCCACAAATATCCAAAAAACACAATCGTTTTTTTACAAATCGCCTGAAAATGGTACCAACAAGTGGCAACATGCGTGATGAAGGTGTTTATCTGGGCTATATCATGCAATCGAAAGTGAAACTTAAGCTTGCTCCATTGCGGAGATATTCCCGCGAGAGTGCGAAAAACTTAAATTACTTAATTAATTTAAAATGTGAAATGTTACCAATATACTCACGGACCACTAGGGGGCGCTCACGGACCACCAGTGGTCCGCGGACCACACTTTGAGAAGCACTGAGAGAGATGAGTCACATAGAGCTTGATTACCGCCTTAAAGTTAAGTGAAGCTATACTTTATTAATCCCAGTCAGGAAATTCGTCCTTTGCAAATGACCCATAACTATTCCAAGGCAATTGGTGCCAAATGACGCCATTGCCTTGGCAGGAAAGGATGTGTGTGAAGTGCAAGCTTATGTCACGTGTGTCCATACTCACTTACATGTTCTGCGTGGTGTTTGTGTGTGCATGTGTGGGCGGGTGGATGGGTTGGTGCACAGGGTGCGTCATCCAGTCTGGTGGTGAAGTTCGCCGACACGGATAAGGAGCGCACCATCCGCCGCATGCAGCAGATGGCCGGTCAGATGGGCATCTTCAACCCTATGGCCCTGCAGTTTGGAGCCTACGGAGCCTACGCTCAGGCAAGGCGCCCCGCTAAACGTCTTCTTTATCCACAGTTATTCAAGCAATGAACCACACAGACTAGAGTGCTCAAGCCTAGCTCATTTTTGGATCTGCAAAAAGCAACAGAAAAAGATGAGCTCTAAATGTTGTTTCGGAAAAAAAGGAACAAACACATTTTAAGATTTTCAATAACTTGCTTTTATCTTGTAGTCACTGTCTTTTTTTAACTTGTATATAGAGGTGGGAAGTAGTGGAGTACAAATACTTTGTTACTGTACTGAAGTACATTTTCTGGTATCAGTATTTTTATGATGACTTTTTACTTTTACATCTTACATTTTTAACACAAATATCTGTACTTTGCACTTCTTACATTTTCAAAACAGGCTGGTTACTTTAGTTTTACTTACTTTACTTTAATCTGCGTTTGTTGGCGTGATCATTATTATTCATTGCGTGCCTATTGATTTTAACACGATCCGTGTATCCATCATTTGCTGGTCTTCTCTAAAGAAGAGGGACCAATGAAAACGTTGTCATGTTGCCGTTGTTCAGCATCGAAACATTCATTAGCTAACAATGACATTATTGTTCTATTAATATAAAGGGAGGTCCGTTTTTTTACTTGAGTACATTTCGAAGCCCATACTTCTTTACCTTTACTTGAGTAAAGAAGTTTAGTCAGTACTTCTACTTTTACCAGTCTTTTTAAACACAAGTATCTGTACTTCTACTTGAGTAAAGGATGTATGTACTTTTGCAATCTCTGCTTGTATACCCCACTACTATTTAATGTTTTGTTCCTTATCTCTTAGTTTCTCGATTGTAACATTTTCTTCTCTCCCTACAATATTCTCCATAGCCCCTCTCCACCACTGTGCAGGTGCAGCAGCAGGCAGCACTGATGGCGTCTGTAGGTCAGCAAGGCTACCTCAGTCCGATGGCGGCCTTTGCTGCTGCCCAGATGCAGCACATGGCGACCATGAATGGCATCCCAGGAGGACCGATGACCCCGACGTCAGGTAACAGTGGGGAAAGACCAAAGGTTAAAAGGGCCGTGCACTTTCGCAAAGAAAGCATTTGCTTAAGTGAATTGATACGCAATCCATAGCCATATCTTAAACAACCCTGTGCCTCACCAAGTGACAAGCTTACGGTACTTTAGCTGAATTTGACATAGTCACCAGCCTTATTTATCTCCAAAATTCTAGCTGATTGCTTAACAAATACAATTTGACTTTTATGTTTAAATAATACTCTGAATTTACAGCAAAACTGAATTTCTAACTAAACAAATCAGATTTATTTTCAAGGCAATAAACAAAATCTATCCTTCAAATGTTTTAGATGCCTTTAAAACAGCAATGTAATATGTTATAAGTAAAGAAACAATGAGTTCCTTTAATGCCCTACTGTAGCATTTCAGAAGAAACATTGTACTAATATTTGTATACCAGAGATGTTTCTAGGTGCATTGCAGGCATTTCACTCATCTAAAACAAATACATTATTGGCACACATAAGATAGCATCAAAGCAGTGTACATTATTAGTATACACTATGTCACACACTGAGACAAGAGAATCTGCCCTGACATTTAGTGTTGTCAACGGCCCACTGGGCTGAGCCCTCTGACATTTCCAAGAGTTACTAGGTGTCCCATCAAAGCAAAGACTTTTCTATAATGTCCTAAAAACATACTGAGGAATGCTCACTGTTTCTCTCTTTGCCTCTCTGACCCGTGGCTGCAGGTGGCAGTACCCCTCCAGGCATCAACGCCCCCACAGTGACCAGCATCCCCTCCCCCATTAGTGTAAATGGTTTTACTGGCATGCCGCCTCCCCAGGCAAACGGGCAGCCTCCCGCAGAGGCTGTCTTCACCAACGGGATACACCATTACCCTGGTAAGTCCGAAAAATTCAGGGGGCATGTTTGCAAACACGCAACACGGCTCTTGGAGAAAGATAACGCTGTATAAATTATGAATACCCTGTTTGTCATGTTAAACCATGAAGCCTAAATCCTTAGAGACACACTCTGTAGTAAACGCATTCATTGTAACGGGAAAGTGTGCATGCTGCTGGCTCACAGGCGTGAATAGCCTTAAAGCATGTTCAGGAGGCCGAGGCCAGACGAATTTAGCCTGCAGACAGTCAGCATGTCGAGGAGATGAGTGTTTGGCAAAGGTGCTTATGGGCTGCTGGAGCCTAAGTATGCACTTGTGTCATGAGCCGTGGATAGTACCTCATTGGTTTTTGTGTGTGAAGTGGTGGAAGAAAAATCTGTTTGTTTTTTCTACACTCTTGTCTCTCCAGTGTTGCAGGAGTTGGTTTTTAGGGAGGACTCGGAGAAAAACGGATTGGGCGTGGCTCCACGGAGTTGTTTTGGGGTTCAGGGTGGCTGCTTCCTGTCCTCTCTCTCTGAAGGTAGCGCTTCTCTCCCTCCCCCACATCCTCACCCCTATCCTACTCCCTTATCCCTTTCCCCATGTGCTCAAATAAAGGTCAATACGATTGTGAGCTTGTGAAATCATCTTGGGCATGTCATATCAAAGGCTGTTCATGTCACCATTTGAAAACCTGTGAAAAATCTGCTTTTGTTTTGACTGTCAAGTAAAGATTTTGAGTTGAGGTGAAATGGAGTTTAAATTTAAAGGTGAAAACAGCATCACGCTTCCCACACTCAGGCACCAACTAAGTGCTAGACTTGCATTCGTACTCTTGTTTTGTGTCATTTTAGTTTCACAGTGTTTTTCAGTTCTCTTGTCTTTAAATCTGTGTGTAACCTTGATTTGATTAGTCCACACATTCTATTTAGAGATAAGAATACTTTTATTTACAATAACAAATCTTTTGTAATTATACCAAAACTCTCTATTCTTCATGCAAAATACTTTTCAAAGGATAATACAAGCACTGGCTTTTTGAACATGATTTCACAAGCTGTGAATTGATTGACCTTTATGTGAGCCCATAACACTTCTCCCCTTTCGTCTGGCAGTGTTTCAGTGTTGCTGTTAGTCCTCGGTGTGTTCAGTATCTTGGTTTTTGGTGTTAGCTGGGTAATCAGTGTGTGTACATGGTTTTCGGTGTACGTGTGTGCGTGTGACGTGTGTGTGTTTTCTCAGTGGTGTTCTTAAAGTGCATGTGTACAGATGGGTAGTTAATAAGTGTGGCGCAGCATCTGTGGTAGCTATAAGTGTTTGGTTCCCTTTTAATTTTGATATAATTAACTGTATCTCCCACATGTGACGTGATAGCAACAGGTGCATCCAGTGTTGTGAGTGTGTGTTGTAATTGTCTTGTTTTCTGTCAGAAAAATAAATATATATCTTGCTCATAGGACTTGTTTATAATAGGTGACATTATGTTTTACTTGCCTGTGGTGTCAGTGGAGCTATGTGTCGTTTTTTGTTCAAACTGGTCTTTCAAAGTTTTACTTTTATGCTTGTCTGGGATTTATTTGTTGCTACTTTTAAAATGCTTTAGGAGGAACATAAAGTAACAGAGATTCAGAGTTCAGTTCCTCACACGCTGAAAGCAGAGCGGACGCCTCTCTGCTCGTCTCTCTAACCTTTCTGCTTTTCTTCTCCTGTCTGTTCTTCTCTCCATCGCCTCTCCCCCCCACCCTCACCCCGGTTATATATTACTCTCGCCTTCCTCCGTGCCCTCTCCTCCATCTACATTCTCCCTCCATCTCTCTCCACCTCATTTCTCTCCCCCTACACACACACCTCCATCCATCCATGCCCCCCCCCCTTTCACCACCACCACCTCCTCCCCTTTCCTCTTCTCCTTTTCGTGGAGCAGCTCAAAGTCCCACTGCAGCTGATCCTCTCCAGCAGGCTTACACAGGAGTCCAGCAATATGCAGGTCTGTCTGTCACTCTCACAGCCCCACTGATCTGTGTGTGTGCGTTTGTGTCTGACTATATATGCGTGTGAGTATATATGTGTGTGTGTGTGTGTGTGTGTGTGTGTGTGTGTGTGTGTGTGTGTGTGTGTGTGTGTGTGTGTGTGTGTGGTGTGTGTGTGTGTGTGTGTGTGTGTGGTGTCAGAGATAAAGTATATTCTTTCTCTGAATTTGAATTGCATTCATGTCACATTAAGTGCTTCAGTCTCGATGTTCCGTGTGTTTGTATGTGCATACGTGCGTCATGTGATATGTGCGTCTGTGTGTGTGTTTGTATGTGCATGCGTGCGTCATGTGATATGTGCGTCTGTGTGTGTGTTTGTATGTGCATGCGTGCGTCATGTGATATGTGCGTCTGTGTGTGTGTTTGTATGTGCATGCGTGCGTCATGTGATATGTGCGTCAGTGTGTGTGTGTGTGTGTTTGTATGTGCATGCGTGCGTCATGTGATACGTGCGTCAGTGTGTGTACCTGTGTGTGTGTGTTTGTATGTGCATGCGTGCGTCATGTGTTATGTGCGTCAGTGTGTGTACCTGTGTGTGTGTTTGTATGTGCATGCGTGCGTCATGTGATATGTGCGTCTGTGTGTGTTTGTATGTGCATGCGTGCGTCATGTGAAATGTGCGTCAGTGTGTGTGTGTGTGCGTGTTTGTGTGTGTTTGCGTGTATGAGTGTATCAGAAAAGGATATTCTTTCTCTGAATTTCGATCATGTAACATTAGGTGCTTCAGTCTAACTACATCAATTCATTCTCTTTGTTGTGCTCCGTGTGTGTGTGTGTGTGTGTGTGTGTGTGTGTGTGTGTGTGTGTGTGTGTGTGTGTGTGTGTGTGTGTGTGTGTGTGTGTGTGTGTGTGTGTGTGTGTGTGTGTGTGTGTGTGTGTGTGTGTGTGTGTGTGTTTGCAACATGTAAACTCTATTGTCTGTTACCTGATCGATTGCCTGCTGTGCCCCTGCATATATCACATTGTTTGTATGTATCCGAGTGTGTGTGGAATCTTGTCATGGCTGTTATCTGATCCGCCCTGTGTGTGTGTGTCTCAGCAGCCTACCCCGCTGCATACGGCCAGATCAGCCAAGCCTTCCCCCACCCTCCACCCATCATTCCTCAGCAGCAACGAGAAGGTAACACACACATTCACACACACACACATTCACGCACACACACACGCGGCACACCATTGACTTCTAAATATTCATACATGCTGCAAACATTTACTCATATTTACTTCTCTGTTTGTCTTAAATCCTCCTGCCAATACGGTCCTGGAATAAACACCCACGTTTAAACAAAAAATTAATTAAATATCCAGGCAGGGCTCACTCTGTTTTCAGGCCTATATTCAGCCTTCTGCGAAAAGCTAAATATTTAAAGTCCTCTCACTATCACAGAGTATAGTATCAGTCAGGATTGATGAGAAGAGACTTGCTTGAAGTCTTTAACAGAGAAAACTTTATGATTAAATAAAACACTTAATGAAAATGAATATTCCGTGTCAGGTTATATGATAAATGATGCTCTCCCCCCTGTTTGTAGGGTGACTAAGTGTACTACCTTTATTGAGGGTTTCAAACAGAGCTGTAAACCTACTCATGAACTCAGTGAACTCCCGGCTTGGGCCAGCCATGTTTAGGACCTTACTGCCCTCTTGTGGAAAATAAACAAAACAATGCCAGCATCTACCAGCTGTGGCTTCCCAGAGGCTATCCAAGTACAGCAGTTAGGGCTCATCTGATTCATCTACTTTTAATATCAGGGAAATATATTGCAAGCTAGATTATCACAAACAAAAATATAAGTCTGGTATTTTTCTTTAACATTAAAACATCCTTAGCTAACAGTTTCATTCTCAAAACTTCAGGTAATCAGGCAATAAGCAACGTCCTGGTGGCACTATCTCTCACAGGTACATGTGTTAGTCCTGCTGGGTTCTTGCATATCCATCCATTGGAAGCAAGTGTTAGAAAAAGTATTCATTAATAGAAGACAAAAAATACTTTGTGTGGGAGTTGGCATGTTGCAAGATTGAGAAGAGACCCAGCTTCATAAGGAAATGATACACATTTCTAAATCCCATGTGACCTTTGAAGTATTTGTCTACAGTTAAAGACATTTCGTTGTGTCATCACTGAGGAGCTACAGTACGATTACAAAGTCTTTCAGCATTTTTGCATGAAAAACTAAGGTTTAATTTATTGTCAAATGGTTAATGAATAATTTACTGTCAGTTGACTAATTGTTGGTTTTGGTTTGATTACATGTTGACAAATCACATAATTTTTCCAACTACTTCATATCAGTGGCAAGAACTGTAACTAAAATACAGAAGTTTTGGGAAATCACAAAAGCTGTTCTAGCTCGCGTTGAATGGTTTATGTCAGACCAAAAAAAGCACATCTTGAAATTGATTGACTATTTTCAAAAAGTTTATGCCAGGTTTCCTCCTGCGGCTTTCCACATGCTTCTCTCCTCTCCATGTCTCTCTCTCTGACCTTTGCCCCTTATCTCCTTTTCTTCCTCCCACATTTTGTCTCTCCCCTTCTCTCTCTCTGTTTATATATGCAGGACCAGAGGGTTGCAACCTGTTCATCTACCACCTCCCTCAGGAGTTTGGGGATGGAGAGCTGATGCAGATGTTCCTGCCTTTCGGTAATGTCATCTCCTCCAAAGTGTTTGTGGATCGGGCGACAAACCAAAGTAAATGCTTTGGTGGGTAAAAATGAACAAACCAAAAGATTATTGGTTATTTATTCTGATTATTCTTTTTTACTAATCACCTTCTTTACCGCAGTCAACACCCCTCCCCTAACCTCTCAACACCCCTCCCCTTTGAACAAAAAATGAAAACAAAACAGTGGAGAATTTCTCTACAGTTGTGCAGAAGCTGGTTGTTAGGCTAGTTTATATATCATTAAAGCTGCTTTATTTTGAAGACTTATTTCTTACATTGATAATTATTTTAGTAATATACACTATAACACATCAATATTCAAACTTATTTTGATAGAAGTGAGCTGTGTTTTAAAGCCTTATTTGCATAGTTGCATTGCCATTGTGCTCTTTGTGCATATAATACAAATGGCTCTGTCTCTAATTTACTGTAAGCAACAGCAACGCGTGCTAAGAATATAACAGTCGCTCGAGCATGCAATGACAGAGAGAGTGCTGTCTCACTTTGTGCCACTGACAGCACAATTTAGTCCAACGTATAATTATGAGTCAAATTATAAATGGCTGGTGGAGAATATTTAATGGAGAGTCCGTCAGGTGCAACCTATTTGCAAAGTAGCTTTTGCTCATTAATACAACACAACATTAATGTTGTATTATTCATGTTGCAATTTTGAGAAGCAGGCTTTAATTTGTGATTTGATGCTTTCTCACTTTCAAGTGGGAGTTAAAAAGCGAAACTCAGAAAAATAGCACAACCACGTTGATGTTTTGGTTTTACATCCCATCACCAAGTTCATATCGTGATTTTGTTGCATGTTGTTATAATTGTGAACCATTGTTGTTGTCATAATATATTAATGCTTATAAAGCGCTGTCTAATGTAGCTAAAGTAGTTGTGTAAGTAATTGTGCTTTTTAACTGTTTTCTGCATAGATTCAATGATTTATTTTATTGTGAATTTCTACATTACTATATGTGTTTCATCTTATAGAACCCATCTTCATTATTCCTTACTTTGTAACCCCGGACTGTCCTTGCCTCTTCATCTAACCGCGTCCTCTTCCTTCTCTCTCTCTCTCGTCTTTTCCCCCAGGGTTTGTCAGCTTCGACAACCCAGGCAGTGCCCAAGCTGCCATCCAATCAATGAACGGCTTCCAGATCGGCATGAAAAGACTCAAGGTGCAGCTGAAGAGGCCAAAGGACGCCAACCGCCCCTACTAGCCCCCCGCCCCAGCCAGCCGCCACACCCCTGGCGGCCGGGGCAGCAGTCGCACACAGGGAAAGACAGGTCAGGCTCTCAATCGCTGTGGCTTTAGTCTGATCGGTGATTAGCTGAACCAATCGCTGTGGCTTTAGTCTGATCGGTGATTAGCTGAACCAATCGCTGTGGCTTTAGTCTGATCGGTGATTAGCTGAACCAATCGCTGTGGCTTTAGTCTGATCGGTGATTAGCTGAACCAATCGCTGCTTATTGTATTGACAAAATGCTCAAATGGCAAGCTCTTTCTGGCACCGGCTGATGTCGTTTCAGTAACCTTTTATAAATGTCATAAAACATTTGCAGATGCCTAATAACTGCCTGATCATCTGTAAATTGCCTGTGAAGAATAGTGATGAAATGTTACCCTCTTAGTTGATAGTTTAAGTACACATTTGTAAATGTTAATTCCACCTACGTCATTGTTGTATAAGATTTACTATAGTGTATAGTCACCATTTACAAGCGGACAACATACAAATCAAAAACCTTTCAGTCATGTTTACAGTTTGATGACTAACATTATATAAGGAATACAAAATGTTAAATATGTTATTATGTTGTGAAATGTTATGCCCTCTGCCATGTGTCTTATAAATATAACAGTCAGCTTTAATGGCCGGTTATAACAAACAAAGCTGTAGGAGCGTTTACTAACATGAAGCCTCCTCTATTTGTAGTACAGCTTTACAGTAAGTGACCCTGGACGTTACTGTAGGTAAAAGATAATTGGTAAATGGTTCAGTGTGTTGCACAGGGAAGGAATTGCTTCCAAGGGAGAGGCATTTATTACCCCTCAGGCGGGTAATTGTGCTGTTCCTCTTTGTCTCCTCCCTTCATCTTTGTGATGGAGAGTTTGGGCTGCGTCGTTCATTCACCACTGATGACTTCATTCAAGGGCAACTTATCACCCACTCACAAACTAACTGAACTGTACCAGACGCTGTCCCGAGGCATATCACTGTGGGAAGAATAGCGCGAACCGGTACCGATGTGTCACAAAATATGTGGCACCATTACTTCTGATATATAAAAACATTTTCAACGGAACGCCAGAGAAAACATCTCTTTTTGATTTCCGTTCTTGCAGCCCGAGATTGACAGTCACTACAACTGATAAACAACCATATGGCCATTTCTGCACAAAGTGTTACTGTTAAAATACAAGCTAGAGGACTGCTTAACTTCTAATGACACTTGAGGGTTAAGGTGTTTCTTTATTTAAAATCCCTTCATCGTTTTAAAAACAGGATTAGACGGTGTGATTTAAATACAAATCTAAATGTAATTGTTTTTCAAGTAGGAGATTACAACTCTGCCAGGTAGCTAAATTAATTCACTGCAGGGTGAGCAATGATTTGTTTTCAACATTGCCAAATTATCTTTGTTTATCCATACCAGAACTTAGAGTCTTAGTGCTGGAGAGGATGATTTAGGGAGAAATGCGTTTTGTAAACTCATATTCTGCTGCTCCATTTGCATGTTAATACAGCACGTATAAATATAAAGAGGGCATACTGTCAGGAATAAACAGCAACATGTCCAATAAAACAAAAAAAATCAATCAAATATTTTCCCCATTCACTTTTTCTAATGTAATGTAGAATGTGGGTCTCTTATGTGATTAATGTTTATTTAGGCCCAAAAAGACAAGCGGTCTCTTTGAATACAGAAAACAGAGATCTGAGTAAATGAACAAACCATAACAAAAAAAAAGTACAGCTGAGGCTAATAGGATTGTAATTAGTTTTAGAGGTATTTAGTTACAAAAGAAAGTATTGGACATTAATAATTTGTTATTGCACTTCCATTCATTAGTTGTCGAAACACTTAACAATTCACAACAAAAGACAAACGTGATGGTGGCACTAGACAACAAGTCTTCATCAGAAAGAGATACAGTGTCTTTCACCATGAACACTTGGACAACAAAATCTATAGGATTCTTCCTGTGGGGACCATAAATCTAGTGGAGCCTATGTACCAAATTGCCATCTGTCCATAACTGTTGAGATGTTTTCCTAAAATCTAGAAATGTCAACCTTATAGTGGCGTCAAAGGAAAACTCATGGGATTCCCAATGTTGGTAGGATTCATCCTCTGGGTATCATAAATGTCCAAACCATCTGTTGGGTGTAAGATGTGAGGGTCTAAGGACAGAAGGTGTGTATCAGGGTACTGATATTCTGTACAAACTGTGAAGACCACTGAGACAAATTTGTGATATTGGGCTATATAAATAAACATTGATTGATTGGTGATCCAATAGTTGACATGTTTCGGTCTGGACCAAAATGGTGGACCAACAAATTGATTGATTGCCATTGAGAATCCCTATTGCCTCGTCAGTAGCAAGGCTGAAAATCATGTTTTACTATCTTTTAATGTGCATGGAACAACACAGTGTTTGTTAGCTTTTCCTACTTGCAACTTGACTCAATAGATTTGTATTTCTTCTGTGTTTTCAGGTTTTGTTGAGCTGAATCATATGTTGACTTCTTGCTACCCGCCACTGAGTGCAAACTCGACATCCGGACCACTGAGGCTGCTTCAGAAAAACAGAGGAGAGAGAGAGAAAACGATGACCGAGTCAAGGACGCCTCCTTTTGGATGTACTAAAACTTTGGAACTCAGAGAGAATTTGTACCAGCCTGGTTAGCCCCAGGACCTTTTTTCTTCTGCACACATATACACACCTCTTCCCCCCACAAAACCCTGCTTGAATGACAGCTACCTTTTTTCTGGACCACAAAAAGACTTTTACTTGAACAATGAGGAGAACAAAAACAGTAAGAGTAACTCGATCAAACCTACTTACAATGACCAACCCTACTGAACTCTTAAAGGGAATACGGATGTCAAAAGTCCAACAAGAACAAAAACTTTTTAAAAACTGAGTAGAAGATTGCCGTAGGAGATCTTTCCGTAAGATGGTTTGAGTTTGGGGCAATTGACTTTTGAAGACCAATTTATAAGACTTGAAACGCGAAGGGACAAGAAATTCTCGGCGAGAGAACTTAAGTAGGGAATGTGATATTTTCAGGACACAAATTGGCTTCGATTTGGGATGGCCATCTTTAGCTCGGAGTGCCTGTCCGTTTCCAGGGGATACCGTTGCCAAGGAGAGCCATAGCAACGGTCTCCAGGGAGTCTTACCTGTCATTCCTTAGTTGTTTTAGGGACCAAAAGACCAAACGTTTTTATTGCTGAGGACTTGTAGCTCTAATATACTCGGACCACTGCATCTCCTTCAGTCAGTGTATACTGGTTGGGGAGTTGCACTTAAAAGAAGTGTACATTTCGAATATATACAACACATGTATATATACATATATATTGCTGATATGCTTTTTTGAATACAGGCAAAACTATTTCAGATGACCAAATGGGGTCTCTCACTTCGCTAGTTTACAATTACTCAAAATGTTTATTTTTTTCTCTTCTCATTTTGTCTTGGGAGGGATGGCGAGTGCATGGGAGGGGCTGCTCCGTATCACAGCCTTATCTTTTTTAACTTGACATCCTAACCTCATAGATAGAATAACATCAGAAACGTTTGAAATATATGAACTTGTTTATATTTGCAGTACATATATATGTATAACAAGCATTCAAGCAAATGTATTCATATATACAGTCTATATGGATAAATAGATATTAATCACAAACAAATATATGTATTTATATGCACATATTTTATATATGTGTGTCTGTATATAGAACGGCTACTGACTATGTTGAGCTGTAATTTTTTGTAGATTTTAGCTGGAGTTTGAAACATTGCTCTGCTTGGGAAGAATCGCAAATCTGGCAGCTCCCAAAACTGCAGGCATTCCTATCTCTGATTAACTATATGCTGACACACGATATATTGCTAAACGATACATGTGTGAGGATGCACACATGGTGTAAATATTATCTGAAAATGCAAAAAGCCACATCTCAGTAGCAGGCTTTAAGAGAATCAGGCTAAATGATTTTAGAGGAAAAGGACAATTATCTTCGACTCTATTCCAAACATATCTTTTGAGCTTACACACACACACACACACACACACACACACACACAAACTTCTCTTTGAAACTTGAACCAAAATGAATACGTCTCACAACCCTTGCTCTCTTTTGCATTCAGTAAAGTGCATGTAGCGTATGGGCTGTCACCATGTCAAGGTGTGCCTTGTCACCTGCAGAATCTGCCATCAAGCACTGCTCTCAGAAAACAACGAAAGAAAAAAAAAAAATTACTCAACACACACCACTGCAAGCAGCCAACGCGCTATTATGATGTCAAAACTACAGCCAGATCCATATCATTTGTCAGCCGCCTAGAGAGCTTCAGTGCATGTCCAATGTTACAAACCACCAGACAGCTGTTGGCCATCAATGTCTCTTAAAAAAAAGCATTTAGAAATAATCATGCGATTATACTTCAAATAAAAGCGGGCATTAGGTAACCTGTTAGCACAGGTGCTAACTATCAAAGCTGTGTGCTACTTTCCACTGGTTGGAGTCTAGGGTCAATTTCAGGGTTGCGACTGACATGACGTGTCTTGATATGAGAAGTGATTGAGCTCATCGGACCCGACATTAGGTTTTAATGGTTATAAAAGTGATGTAATATTGATGAATATGCTCTAATTAGAGCGCGGGCTTCCCATTGAGCAGAATAAGGGAGGGTTTTATGTACTTTCACATCCAGCAGTTAATGTGTGGATCTGCTGGTAATACTTGACATGAAGCATGTCCTAGAAGATGTTATATTGCCTTATCCTCATACAATCAAATATAAAACATAAAAGTATAATGAAACTGTAAAATGAAGCAATAAGAGTGAAAAGCCATTTACCCATTAGAACTGCTGTGCCACTGAGGCTGGTTTCATATTGCTTTAGCATACAGTTTCTCATAAAAGTCTACAAAAATGGTATGAACACTTACCATACACCTGCAAAAGGTCAACGGACTTGGATTTATTGGTCCCCGCATTCAACACATATTCAGCTGGTGGAGATTAATCAATGAATATTTATATATCTGAATATTTATAAGGCTATATGACACTTTGGAAGACAATGCTTCCTGTTGGGTGCTATTACTAGTTTTTCCTATAAATTGCTCATTATGCCCTTTCCCTAGTGTCTGTGTGTAACCTTTTTAGCAGATTGAATCATTTAACATTTACCTTCCAAATCCAGTGGGGCTAAAAGACGACACTCCACATCCCAGGATGCCACTGTTTGTATATGCCACATAACAAGGCCCCCACTGTGGCGTCCAGTGTGAAACCAGTTGACCATCGTGATCATTTTCACCCCGACAGTAGCCGCCGTTGGTTAGTACAAAACGTCCGGCTGCCTTTGAGCTAACAGTAACATCCGGAGCTAAATGTCATGTGTCTGGTGTCCCTGATCGCCACACTGTGCCCTCTTTGAGTGGCCCCTCGCAGCTCTGAGGAAATTGAAAAAGGTGGTGGACACGGTCTGTGCTTTTTTAATGGTTTGTTTGAGCAATCACTCATGCCTTTCACCTAGCCCATGTTTTCATGTTGAGGGAAGTGAGGGAGAGGAAGCAGATCGACCGCGGGAACTAGAAAGCCAATCACCTCTTCTTCATTTTGCTCCGACTTAAAGCTGCAAGTTTACATGAGAAAAGAAAAAACAAAGTATTGTGGTTCAAAAACAACAAGAAACAGAGCAGAAGTTTGAATATAAATATATATATATAAATATATACATAAACCGATGAATATACTGTAAATTGTTTCCTTTTTTTGCTCTGTTTTCCTCTGTACATAGGTTTGCATATTTTATAGGACTTTTACTTCTATCTACAAGGACTGGATAAAGTACTTTAAATACTTAAAAAAATATATGAATGAAAACATGATAATGCTCAATAAAACCAGGTACAAAAAAAAAATATTCGCTAGGATACGGTACAAGCTGTAGGACCTGACCAAGGAAATTTATCCAGAATACAGTCAGGGAGAGCATTGACCTCAGTTAGAGCTTAGACACACATTGACCTATTTTATAAAATAAAAAATACTTTGATGGGTTCTATTCATTTATCTATTTGTTTAGATATTTATTTATAAGTCATGTCCAAGATAATATGCATGCTTTCATGGCATTATTTTTCTATGAGTTGGTACGTGACCAAATAGTTTTTATATGACATGCATGGGCCACTGCTGTGGTCCACCGATGATCATCGCTCCTGTCTGCAGGACCATGCCTTCATGAAGGGGAAAACACGCTCCTATTGACCAATTGATGTCAAAGACAGATTTTTAATCCTTTATTTATTTATTTATTTTGAGTTGATGTATTTATTTATTTATTTGTGCCGTTTGATTCAAGATCTGAGCTCTCTTATTGCCACTGATCTGTTGCTTTGTATCACTACATCGCATATTACCATTTCAAGCAACCTCCGAATTTAACAACTTCAAAGACTGGTTTTACATTTTCCTGTTGCTGATTACCTATTCAAAACAATGCAGTACTATACTAAAGCTTATGTATATTTGTAATTATTAATTTCATATTGTTCCTGTTCCTAAAAAAAATTAGCTTTGTTAAAAGATTGTTAACAATGAGCATTAGCTTCCATTCTGAAACCTAGGTAAACTTTACATAATTACAACTGTCCAATCAGACGTGTAATCACAAGAACATATGCCTTGAGGTCACTATGAGTTGCTGCTAATATACAGTATAAATGAGCTAAAGTCTGATGAAGTCCTAATCACTGATTAACTGGCCTGAAACAAAAAAAACATTTTAGATTTGTTTTGATTCCCCCTGCTCCCCTTTCTCCTCTTGCTTTGCATTGTTTGACAGAGCTCTGATCTTGTTCAACTGATGTGTTCTAACAAGAGTAAAAATTCAATGAAAACTGCACTATCTCATCAGAAATCGTTGATTACTATCATTCTTTCTCAGTGCTGTTATCAGTGGTTTTATTTCTAAAGCGCAGTAGTATTGCTAGAATCACATTTTCCTTCATATGGTTTTCAAAGTATTCTGGAAATCTATTTCCCAATTTCAGCACACACGGAGGGAGGGGAAATGAATGTTGCATAAAGCTTTGCCGGGTTCCTGATGAGCTAAGCTTCATGATTGGGCAGTGCGCTTTAGGCTCCCGCCCCTGTCTCTCTCCAGACTGCACCATTCTCTGGTCCCCTGAACTCTTTTTTTGTAATTTTAAATGAATGATGCGTCTCAGCTTTAGCCCCAATAATAAAGCACAGTCTAGAATAAAAGTGTCCCGTGTTGTGTCCTCATTTTCTGATTTCAATACGCAACCACCTGCACAAATGTCCCAGATATTCTGTTGTCTGTCATCTCAAAAACTGATGAAAAGATTTCTAGTAGGAATATGTGTAGTATACATATACTCACATGTAGTATATGTGAGTATCCAGGTTTGTATGCTTCAGGTTAATTCATTTTAGTCATAATCATCAAACAGTCTCAATGTGGAGATTGCTTATCATGAATTAGGTTAGTATTAACTTGGCAATGTCCCTAAGAGATAATCAGCATAACTTAGCGTGTTTTTGTTCGCTGTGGCAACATCAATTACAAAAGAAAGCATGATCAATTCTGTATAAATATGTGTTTATTGGATTAAAACCACAAGGGTACACTTTATAACATCATGATCATTCTGATTTAGAATGTCAATTGAAAATTAAATGTATTAATAAAAAAAAGACCATACATGTGACTGGATCCACTTTCTTCTTTGTCAGCAAATAAAGAAAATATCCTCCAGTATTTGACTTTCCTCCAGATCCTGCTGGGTATTCTGAGGATAGACCCGAGCGGGGGTGAGCAGGGTTCTGCCCGGGGGTTTTGGGGTAGTGAGGCCCGGCCTACGCTGCGATATATTGGGTCTTCGGATGGACTGCTTTCTGAGCTCAGGTGCAGAGACAGGACTAAAGACGTCCAATAACTCAACCGCAGGAAAGTCCAACCTAGAAGAAAAATAAAAAATCTTTAGAGGGTTTTTGTTGTTGTTTCGGCTTCTCTTTTCCACATGTGACCTCAGCTTGTTTCAAAGGTTGAATCGGCACAGGCTACATTTATAATACAGAACCCAGCGGAGCCCTGTAGGCGATGTTGTAAATGAGTATCCTTGCGCCGTTCATTGTAGCAGAGAAATGCACACAAAGACCGGCAGTTTCGGAACGTGCCATCAATGTTAAACACAGAGGGAGCAGGCCGGGGGACCGTCAGCAGACAAGGCCAAAGTCTACTTGGAGCACGGCGCTTGTATGTAAATATTTGTCATTCACCTTTCACTTGTTAACACAGACAATATGAAAGCAAATCTCTCTTGGACGTGTTAACAAAATCTTTCTTGCTGGAGTGTCTACTGAACCCTAACAAGTAACGCTAACAAGTCAAAACCACTGGGGCGTCCCAACAGAAAAACACATATTCTTGCAGGTGTACGGGAGGGAAAAAGAGGGAGAGAACCCCGGCTCTTTCTCCCCTGGAATAGAAATGAGGGAATGTGCAGGCAAAATAAATAAACCAAAACGGGGGAGATTAAGCTAATAGAGATTCAATCCCTCAGTCTGGCTGGCTTGATAAATTATTCAGTGTATACACAGTCGAACAACGCCATTCCAGATACAAAACATGAATTCTTTAAGGCACGCTCCACTGGTGTTGCTAACATAATTCTCTGCTCGTTTAAAGCTGCATCGATTTGCATCGCGCCGCTCCGCACACAGCTCTCCCAGGTAAGGCTGATCTTTGGTGGACTTGTTGATATGCATGTGGGGGGGGCAGCACAGACACCGCTGGATTATCCAATCAGGCTGCATTTGTGTTCCTCCACACGTAAACATAGACCTTGATATGTCAGGGGTTTTTTCCACACCAACTTGAGGCAGAGAACATCAGTAGCTTTAGAGGTTTGATAGCCATATTTCCCTATTGGAAGATGTGGTGATGTATGCACATGTTTGAGCGCGAGAGAGTGAATGAGGGGTTAGTCGTCTGAAAGATGATAACTGATGAAAAAAGAGACTGAAGCTTGAGTAAGTAAATCTGTCTTCCTCATTTGGTCTCCTGCCTGTCATCAGCAAAATAAGAAGGGAGAGAGAGAAAGCATGAGAGGGGATGAGCGCGAGCGTGTGTGTGTGTGTGCGTGTGTGTGTGTGTGTCCGTAATACAGAGACTGGAAGCGAGAGGAAGGCAGAAAGGGAATGTGGGGGAGGGACTTTGGCTGGGTTCCTTCTCTCGAAATGTGAGAATTTGCATTTTTATTTGTTGATTTATTTAACGGACAGGGCTCTCAAACAGCCATCCATCAACAAACGACATGTCGGTAATGAATAATGCATCACTTACCGGCGGTCACAATCTATAACAAGGGGAGTGCGGGGGGTAGGGGTACAGTTTGGGCAGCAATGGGGGGGGAATGGCTGTGGGTCGGGTGAGGAGGAGGGGGGGGGGGAGGTGGCATAGAGATTGCACGAGGGCTGGAGAGAACGCCGATGGATTTTCAGCGGGGTTCACAGCACAACAAAGAACTTCATTTCGAGCTCCAGTTTGTTTGAGGTAAAGTTGTGAATTGCTGCTCGATATTAATACCCCCCCCCCCCAAGGAGTCCGGGCTGATCTATTTTACTGCCACATGCACACACACGCAATGCATAGAGAAGCAGGGACTGTCCTTTTAAAAAAGGAAAGGAAGAACAACTTATTTTGATGCTCTGCCAACATTTAGGTATTGTCAATACATCAGCTTCTGTGCCTGTCAGTATTAGAGCCTAAGGCAGAATCATATATCAGCAGAAAGCCTTTTATAGATACTACACTGATACAGACGCTTCAATGACAAACAGATGTCTATGAGACTGAATGTAAAAATCACAAAGGCCTTATAAAACCTTTCTTAGTGTAATAAAAACGTTTGGGCTTCATGCTCCCAGCGCAGCAATACTGTTTGTCTCTTTCCTAGCTCTTTAAGGCCAGATACCCCACCTCCTTCGCTCCACTCGTAACTTTCACTGCTTATTTGGCTCCCCTCTTTCATTAAAGATAGCCGTCTCGCCCCGGCGCCCCTTTTCATTTGCAGTCCAAACAGTAAGATAAAAAACCTATAATGGCCACTGCGTATATCGCGCATGTCAATTTCTCAACCAATCAATAGCAGGCGGGCAATGGCGGGAGGGATAGAGATGAGATGGGCGGGGTGCGCTGGAACCGTCTCATTACTAACTAGCACAGGATTCATGAAAGGATTCAGAAGGTCACTTAATGTTAACCCCAGCTTCGTTTTGCAATTTGCACATCGAGATTGAATTGGTTAAGATTAGATGGTCACCAGGGGCATGCTGTTGCCAAGCAAAGGAGGGGGCGTGCAGGTAAACTTACTGTAGGTTACTCATTTTGTTTACTATCCTACCACAGCAGTGTTTTTGTTTTGTTTAATACATACAAGGAGCAGTTTGTTATCATTATATCCAAATCACTGGATTACCAAAGGATTACAACTATTTTAAAATATGCACATGAAAGAAAACTGATTGCAAGAAAACCACAAAAGGCATCCGAGAGGCAGACTTCCTCATTACTGGTTGTAGAAAAAACAGTGTGTGTAGCGAGGAACAGCCCGACCATTTTAATAGGCTTTGGAGGTGTAAATGGATGGTAATAAGATGTGATTCCCGGGTCCCCTGCTGGAATTAATGGGCATCTGCTGGAGCTCACAATCCAACTCGGACCACGCACTGCTTTGTTTAAGAGTTACTTATCTGAAGTTGGAAACTTTTAGCTGTTTTAAAGAAATGTCCTTTAGGGAAATGAGGTAGAGAAGCAGTCCCACAATTACTGTATCTCCTACTACAGCTACTTTTACAAAAAGGAAAGGTGACGTTATACAAGAACAAATTGCATCAGCTAGGAATAACATTTTTATAAAATACAGGTCTGAAGCACCACTGTAACAAATTGCTTCTCAGGAAGGGATATTTCTGCACACATACACACCCGGTTAGACCGTCAGGTTAATTACCATCCTGTGTAAGGGCTGGAAGAAAAAGGGTAGCAAATGTCCTTTTTGAAAAAACTGATGATCGCACTCAGTGATTCATCCCTGTCCTCGAAACTACTCTACATCTTTCTCACTGTTGCTATCCATCTGTCCCTGCTCCAACTTTCCTCTTCCTATTTCTCACTTTACCCGATACCCTCACTCTCCCTCAAAAACACTTTTAACATCCCTCCCTCACTCTTGCTTACTCTGTCTCATTACTGTGGCAGCGAGAGAAGGGAGGGCAGTGTGTGCATCCAGAAGTCTGTTCAATTACACCTGCTGCAGGGTCCCTGCTAAGCCGACTAATGGAACGCAGCATGTCTCCTGACAGGCTGGCCACAGCGCTAGCTAGCCAAGTCAAAAGCTTCATTTAGTCTCTCACAGCTCGAAAAGTTAGCTGGGCTAAGAAGAGACATCATTTAGCCTCCCACACTGCAGCAAGACCAGGAAAAGCCTCTATAACCTAAATGTTTTATTTGTACTGCTTTCATGCTTTTCATTATTGTTAATATGTATTCACAAGGAGGAAATGCCTTAGCAGGTGAGAGGGAACAGGTCAAATACTGCAGACTGACAGCAGGCCAATAATCTTGTCCCTACATGACAGAAGTAGTCTACCCACAGAGATGCTCACTCAGACTTTAATAATAATAATAATGCATTTTATTTATATAGTGCTTTTCACAACTCAAAGACGCTTTACAGTATGAGGGAGGGTAGACAAACAAGGACAGGCAAACAAGTAAGTATAGTAAAATAAAAAAATAAAAAGGCAGTCAAGAGGAAGTTGATTGAGAGGGGGGGGGCTTATGGGTAGACAGAGTTGAAAAGATGTGTTTTGAGGCGGGACTGAAAGACTGTAAGGGACTCAGAGTCACGGAGATCTTGGGGGAGGGAATTCCAGAGCCTAGGAGCTGCCACTGAGAAGGCTCTGTCCCCAAAGCTGCAGAGTGTGGATGTGGGAATGGATAGGAGTCCGGCTGCGGTGGATCTGAGGGACCGTGGGGGTTGATAAGGAGTGAGAAGGTTTGTGAGATAAAGGGGGGCCAGCAGATGGTGGAGTGCTTTGTAGGTGAGGACCAGAATTTTGTAGTTGATGCGATGGGAGACAGGAAGCCAGTGGAGGTCTTTGAGGACTGGGGTGATGTGATGCCATGATTTGGTATGTGTTTACTACAGCAGAGAAACCCTTATTAGTCCTGAAGAAAGCTCCATTAAGAATGTCAACCTATCACAGAACAAAGAGTGCTGCCTGGATCCTTCAAGTGCTTACATGTGCTGTTTTTTTATTGTTGTTGAATGAGAAACCTACTTTTGTCTGGCACTTCCGTTGACCAGTGAGGTTGTTCTTCTACGTTAGCTAATACTCCCAGCATTATAATAACCAATATTTCACTTAGCTAGAAGCTATTAAAGATGTGTTACCTGGACTCAGAGGACTTTCGGATCACAGACGATGAGGTGGGTCTATTCAGGTTTGCAGGGGTCGGAGATGTAGCCATGTCCTTTCTGGACTGCTCTAATGCCTCTGTAAAGATACACAAGATAGGAGTGTTATATGAGAAGCAAAAGCATTGAGGCTGAAAGCAAGGCTGACAAGACGTCTCTTTTAATTACCATGATTATATACAGTTCTTTATCAAAGTTGTAAAGCATATGAAAAGTAAACACTGTCTGAAGAAACTCTTGACAGGATCTTGTAGGATATGTTTGATGAGCCAAGATGTTGCCATTGATGAGACATCATTCTGATTATTGAACATGCAAGCTCACCATTGCCCAGATGAGTGGGTAGAGTTTTCAAGTGTTGTGCATGTGAACTCTGCACTGCAGGATGTCCCTCTGCATCTTCACACACACTGTGGACCATACACAGTTTAAAGTCAGAGTTAGTGTATGTAAACAGTATATGTGTGTAGTGTATGTAAGTCACTTTGGATAAAAGCGTCTAACAAGTGATATGTAATGTAATTATATGTGTACGGTCTGCATGTGTGCGTCAAAGAAAGTTTGCTAGTTTCCCACTGATATAGTTTTAGTTTGAGTGTATGCGTTTCCAGTTTTTCTTTGTTTACCTGGAGGGTAAATGTTGGTGGGAGGGACCCTCAGGCTGTGGGTCTCTATTTCTAGTGTTGGAGCTGCTGAGATCAGATTGAGTAGCTTGTTGGAATCTAAAAAAAATAGAAAAAGAAAATGGACTCAAGTTTTGCCAGTCTGCAATGACAGATACCGAAGTACAAGCACACATAAACACATGAACTTTTATGATTAACGACTAGATGTAAACATCAACGTATTCCTCAAAACGCTAGCTAGCAATGATTCCAATTAGCATACAGTTCATTTCTCTTTGGCTCCCGTCACCCACTTGCTGTAATCGAGGCGCGACTGTTGAAGCTGCTGGTTCTGCGTGTTGAGCCTCTCCTCTTGCTCGGCCAGCCGTGCGTGCAGCCTCTCTCTCTCCGTCTCCAGCTGCATCTTCTGCAGCAGCAGCTGGTGCCTCTTCTCCTCCCAGTCCTCGTGACCCAGCCGAGGCCTGGTCAGGGCTTCTTTAGCCTCTGAGCCAATGGCCATCCCACTGTGGAGCCTGTATAATGCATATTTATTTAGCTTAAACGAATACCCAATTTAATGTAATCGTTTATTTAGCAGGGACAATGCACATTAAAAGGTGGGGTAGGTAAGAATGGAGAAACCAGCTCGAGTGCGCTAGAATTTGAAAGCACGCAACCGGAAAAAATCTGCCCCTTCCTTCAGACTTCCTTACAGAGCCCCTCCTCCAACACACACGAACGCGCACATGACCAATGAGGGCACGAGATAAGTTTGTGCACAGATGGAAGGCTGACAGGCAGGTAGGCCATCCTGTTATTTTAGCCGGGCCGGCTCAGATGATTGGTCGTGCTTTTTACAGCGCTACGGCTTCCACAGAAGACATTTCTTTATGTATTTATTGTCAAAGCATTTAATTTATTCATTGCTATCGGGATGTTAAGAGCATTCCATGGAATATAACAAAAAGGGTTTCTGAAGTGAATTACCAACTCCACCTTTAATGAACACTACACTGCAAATAGTGTAAATATGCCGGATTTTAGCTTGGAGCTCATTTCCATCCGCAGTCCCTCACATAAAACAGGCAATTGACAATATGATGATATGTATAGATAACTGACCCTTTCTAACCATGAGTTCTTGAAGAAAACGTTATCGTATGCATCCATGGTGAACAAAGCATAGAGAAACAGAGTGTTCTTGATGTGTAAGTCAATGGGGGATGCATTTAAAAACTATATCAAAGACAAGTCTCGTTCATCCAATTGTATGTTCAATACTTCGCAAACATGCTTTTGTGGTAAAACCTTCCTATTTAAAACCCTTCGGACCTGACTGGTATAGAACAGTACTGTGCTTGCAGAGGTGATACTGATTATTCGGAATAGTAAGGTTTTAGTGAAAATGCATGTGTTTGGGTAGATGTGAGTATACGACTGGATAAATTAGACTTTTATTATACTTCTCGAGATGTGTAAGAGCATAAATATATGTTTTGATATCGTTTTGTAGAAGTCAAACAAGAAACAAGTTAAACAATTTGATTTAATTCATCAAGACTTCTTTTGTTTTTTGTCTAATCTTGTGTTACTGTGGAGGCGAGTTAACAAAGCTCTCTTCAAGAATGTCATTGTGTGGGTAACATATATTATTATAATTGTTTTATATCCTGACTTCTTGTTTGTGTCTTGATAAATGCACATTTCGATTATAATAAAACTAATACTATAGTCAGGGTTCATACACTTTTTCACCAATGATCTTCAATGACTTTTCCAGGACCTTTACCTAATTTTCCATGACCAAAAAAATTACTCTTTCTCAGCGTACCACTGAAAATGGTTTATTTGAACATGGAACAGGAAAATAAGGTCTGAAACATGTTGTGCCTATCTAAAACAAATCAAATAGTAGGCTTACTAGCTTCTACACGCTAAAGCAACTAAAATCTCTCACCAGCAAAATACCTCGACAGTTAAATTCAATTTTACGTTTCATTACTATACGATACAGTATTTATTATCATTATAGTATTACTATTTCGGTGATTAGATAAAATATAAATTATGTTTTATGCAACTTTAGTTACATTTCCATGACTTTTCCAAAACGTTGGGAAAAATATTGTTTTCCATAACTTTTCCAGGGCCTGGAATTAGCATTTTGAATTTCCATGACTTTTCCAGGTTTTTAATGACCGTAGGAAACCTGTATAATATGGTATGAAAAACGATATAAACTGTACCTTTCGCACTCATGCTGGTTAGAAGTGTCATGGTGGCCATTCTCTCTGCGAGCGCCACTGTCTTGACCTCGGCAGGGCCCACATCTGTGCTGGCCCTCGGACTCCCTGCTCTTCTGAGTCCCGAGCTGTTGGATGGGCCCGTCAGTGGGACTGAACTCACCCGCACAGGAAAGAGAGCCTGCATTGTTGCTCTGAGAGTGTGCTGCTGTTCTTCCTCCACCACTCCCACCACCCCTGTGCACTCGAGTAGCAGGGAAGCTGAGGTATGAGCCATCAAAGGAGGAGCCATTAGCTCTGCTAGTAGATGTTCTGTTGGCGGCTTCCTCACTGCTCAGCACCTGGACAGAGAACAAAGAGGACAATGAATGCATTTTGGCCAATTTAGGAAGCCTCTGAAATATTTATGGGAGTATAACTGCCAAAAACGTTGCTGCTTCATAAAATCCTAATGTAGACCTGGGCTACACACCAAAATTCACCAATACTGAATAGGGAGTCACTAACCCACCTAATTAACTCGTGTTTCAGCGTGCAGTAAAAGCTTCCCCCATGTGTTTGGGAGAAATGTTCCATGAGACCTTGCATTTATTTATGTCGTTTTTTGTGACCTGAAGCATTTTTGTTCATCTTAAAATTCTACTTTTTTCCATTCTACCCCCGTGAATACAGTGATTGTGTTATTAGGCTTCTCTGAGATGTATTATGCTTCCCTGAGAATGTGCTGCTTTCACTACTTTATAGACGTGGTGTAAGGCTAGGGCTTGGTTTATAGCTGCAAAAATGCAAATCACCTTTCAAAACTGTAAACTGGACAGTGGCCACAAGATTAAGAGGGCCATTTCCAACTGAGCATTACTGGCAGGTAAGCCAAGGTCAGCAACATTATGAGATAAACATAAGGGGGATAGCCCATCTTACAGTGGACTGAGGAAGAGTGTGACTAATTTGCTGAGGGTCAGAGAGCAGGCAAACACACATTATTCAGAGCCCACCTCGGGACAATGAGTGGGGCCAAGTCATCTATTCTTACAGGGGCCGAAGACAGAGAGGCGTCTTCGTTCTGAAGTGTCACCTTGAGAGTTTTCACTGTGTTGTAGTGATACCAGACCACTATAGTGGACTTCGGCGGTGCTTTCATATGCATTAAAGAGAGGTGCATGAATGAGTCCTAAAACATGGGAGTGAGTTTGCATTTTACCATTTCCGTTACCCTTGTCCCTAAGTCAACTGTTTGTTGTTAGATGTCTGAAATAAGATCGGTGGTTAATACAGGCTGAATAGATTTGTATGTTTTGTTCTACGACATGAAATGTGCCAGTAAATACTCAACTGGTGAATGTCTGAATCTCCTTTGTGCCATAAAAAAGGCTGTTGCTAACAAGTGACTTTATAAGACGTCATCACTCTGAACACCAGTTAGCTTTCAGCATATCAGTGGTGACGTGAAGCCATGCAACCATAGCCTAATGTTAGCTTTTTACTTTTCCACTGGATGTTTCTTTTGTAATGCTGGAATGCCTACCGTATGGGGAACATGAGTTTTATCAAAATGGCTCACTCAGGAGCTGGCCCATCACATTAGATTGCATGTTGCACTACTAAAACCCGTATTATAGGGCTTTCCACACCCCCCCTCTGCCCCGTACCTCACCTTGCTATGCGCTGGCTCCTGGGTGAGCTGGGCGATGGACTGGTTCAGTTTGGCCTGTTGCTGAGAGAGGTATTGTTGGTAGAGCCCCAGCAGCTCCTGGCACTCTCTGTACTGCTGCTGCAGGCCTGGAGGACCACAGTTAAGGAACCAACAGCAAGTACACTGAACACATCACAACACAACTTTTAGTATTACATATTAAAACATACCCCTGGATTTGGCTGAGAAAAAAGCAGACTGTGCAAAATAAATATTTTCACAAAAAGGGAAAAGGAAAATGCTGGACAGGGACGATATACTCTAAGCACCCTTTGCTTTTGAATATCTTATTGAGCTACTATCTTATTGTTGTTTGTTGTTGTTTTTTCACCATGAACATCAATCAGAGGATTGTCTGGCAAGAGTCAACAGTGACCAACAAAATGCCTTTATGAAAACTTCCGAAACTAGAAAAGCTTCGAGCGGCTACATAAAAAAAACAGGGCACTCTAAAAAGAAAATACTTTTTCTCTCGGCGGTATCATGAGCACCACTATCATTGGGAACTATTTGAAAAAAGGCTGGCGCTCTGAGAAAGAAACGTCATGTAAACACTTTGAAATGTGTCAAATGTAACTAAACTATGTCGTGCCTACACGTCTTCTCACTGTGGATCTACTGAGAAGGAATTCTGTACACAACAGCCATTTTGCTAAGGAAAATGCTCCACTATGCCACTTTAAAGCTAAAAAGATAGATGCTGGATTTAGATTGACAATCTGAATTAAAGCCTTGTTTCTCCAATCGATTACATATTGGACCAGAGAAGTAGGCAGAACCGAGAGAAGTTGAAAACAGGGAGGGAGAAGAGGCCAGAAAAATCAAAGTTGTTGTTGTGGCACAGAGCTTTCACCATCTGGGTCGGGCCAAGCTGTGTTGAGCCGAGTTGGGCAGTGCCGTGCCAGGCTATCTGCCAGACAGAGAGCTGGCACACACCAGAAAACTAATCTGGAGCGGAACTACTGCTGCGCCTCAGGAGCCCACTAATGACAGTGGCAGCAGCGCACTACAGCAGCACATACAAAGATAATGAGCACAAGAATGGAGAGACTACACACATTCAATAATCAACCTCAATCTGACTCTCACCCCCTAGTACACACACCCACACAACACAGAGAGACATGAGAGCACAAATTCCCCACCTGCACTGTAAACAGCTCGCACACTTCAATAAAGCAAGAGGAACACACACTCCCGCCCAAGCTGACCTTAAAGTGTGTTCCTCCAGGCCATATCTTCTTATGATGGTGGCCCTGCTCCCTCAGCTGATGAGTTTTTCCGCATCCGTTTGAGAAAAAAGATTCCCCATTTTAAGAGAAAATCAAAGTTCAAAGTAGAGTGTTATTGAAGAATAGTTGGCGGAACACTCCATAAGAAAACACTTTGGTTGTTAGGAGACTTCAATCAGGCTGTGGAAATGAAACAGAGGGAAGGCGAGGAGAGCGGGGACGGCATTGAATCGAGAAGCAGACACCAGACAAATGCAATGCAGCAGCTTCCATAAACATTCGGGGAATGTGAGGAAACACTTTGATTGAACCCTCCGTCTAAGTAAGGCTCCTCCACCGCTGCACTGATAATGTCCATGGAAGTAGTTTTATATGGAAAGCTTGAGGACATCACAAGGACATCACATCATGTAAACCTGTGCTGGTTGCTCTATTCATGCAGCATGAATAAGGGTCTTGAAGGGGAGATACTGAATATGCGTATACAGCTCCCCCTCAGTCCAAGATAGAGAGTTGTGTGTTGAAAAAGCCTGCTGGTCATATTTCATCCGATTCGCATAAAAACACTATTTCCGCATGATTTCTCATGACTAAAACAAATGTTTACCAATAGACACGAATATATCGCACTTGAATACAAATATGGGTTTAGTGGGGACTACACAATACACACAAAGGCTATCTGTTAAGGCTATCTGGCATTACTTTAAATGAAGGTAAGGTGTGTTAATGTGTAGACGGGCTGATGCAGTCACTGGACACCAAGCGCTGGGTAATCTGAACCGAGTGGAGCAACGCTGATAAGATTCCACCTCTCCGCTCGTCGCCACACTAAACATGCTTCCTCCACAGCCTTGGACGTCAGCCAATGGGGGCCAAGCACTCGGCAAGCCCCCGGTTTACATCACAGCTGCAACGCGCCGACAATGACTTACTCCTCCCCCCTGCTCCAAAAATACTCAGAATCAAGGGCTTGGGCTGAAGAGGCTTCAGACGGGGCCTGTCAAAATGATTCACTTCCCTGTCAGGCAGAGGCTCAAATGAAATAATGAAATCCACTTCAAGGTGGAACAAATTTGCACAGGAGGGGGGCATATTTTAAAGCCTGCTTTAGCACACTGTGCCAAACAGATTGAGCCTGAGCAAGGATGTGAGAGAACGGGGGCAGATGATGTGTATGTAAGGAAGCAATGACGGGGAATTAATGGAAGAAGACAGTTAACATAACTGCTTCAATACAACTGAATCTGGGGGAGATAAGAGTGCAATTCACACAATACACCAATAAATAACGTCAGGTTACCATTCTTTTTGAAAATGCCTTAAAAATTCAAAGTGCAAACACACAGAAACAGTCACACAATAACTATTCTTGGCCATCTTTTTTTGCCATGATCACAACTAATGTGAAGAACCAACTTTGAAGGCACAGACTAGGTTTGCAAAGCCAAAAATATATAAAAGTGTACAGAGAAAACTTGAGCCAATCTGAAAACTTGAGTCAATCTGAAAACGTAAGCCAATCTGACTCTTTTCAATGCATTATGTATTATTCATTTCAAATGTTGTCCACCATTGCTTAAATGTAAAAAAAAAATGAAGTTGAAAGAATTACATTTGTTTACAAGGCTTAGCTTAAGCCTCAGATGAGAGGGTGTTCTTGTTTACAGACTCCCCTGCAATTAAGCTAAGCAGAATGAAGGGCTCACAAAAAGGTTCTTCATTCAGAATCACTGTATTTACTATATTTCTTGTTGATAGCAGTCAAAAGATAAAGCTCTAGTGAAGCAACAGACCAGAACTGAGTTTTGAATTCAGCCTTGGCATCTCCGTGCATGTCAAACCTCTCTCTCCAACTGCTTTTATTATTTCTCTAGTCTGTCAAAATAAGGGGAGAAAACATGAATTAGTTTTTAACACATCTAATAAATAGAGTGCACCTTCCACATAATATAACTCACATCACTATTTTCTAAAGAAGAAAGCAAGATTAACAACACCAAGGACAGATCATGACAGTGCCTACAGAGCTGTCATTAAAGAATATTAGGATCTTAATCTGCCAAGAGAAAACTAAGTGCTAAAAAACCTCTGATGCGCGTTGGATACAACCAGATTTCCACATAGTTAATGTCAGGTTTAAATGGATTTTATCTCTGGCAGTCCTCTATCACAACATGTAGCATTTTCAATGACATATTCAAACAGGGCAGTTATCCCCCTCTCTCCATGGCCTCAGGATTCCCTCCAATTGTTTGAACTCAATAAATGGCATTAGCGCTAGCACCTGCTGTGCTTTATTCTGGATACAGCGAGTAGAGTGGTGCGCCGCGTTTGTAATGCCACCTCGACTTTAGCCCATGCCAACATGCCTTGAAGTCCTATCCTCCTATCTGAAATGCAAATTCAGTGCTGTGTGCCAGTCACTTCCAAATGTCAGCTGAACACCCTTAATATCAAGGGTACCTCATCCGAGGTGGCTTGGGGCTAAGGTATAGCCCTGCATTCTATATACCCCCCCCCCGACAACCCTGAATCGTGGATAGATAAGATAAGCTGAGGCGTAATGGAATTAGACTTGACAAGACTCTCATTCAGTGTGTTTGCCTTTGGTGTCTCCTTAACCTTTCGGAGAAGTGCCGGAACCTTCTGCCTGAGAAGAGCCTTACTGACTCCTGCATTCACTTTGAAAGACTACGTTATCCGCCCCCCCCTGAGGTGCATGGAACTGAACACTTTTTTTCCCCTCAAATACCTTTTTAATGGAGTTTAGAAGTTTGGTGTAAATGCCAAGTCTCCGAGCCAAAGTGCCTTTAATTTAGTTGTGCTTTTTCTAATTTTCCCCGCCACCGTTGCCAATCGTGCAATTTACCAGCGGGGTAAATTACTCCCTGAAATTGTGTAGTGGTTTTAACCTAAATCGTCTGCTGGCCATGCTTTGGCTTTGACCTGGGCGGAATTGTTTTGAGACAGTAAATGGGATGTGGTGTGCAATAAACAGCACACTATGGCGGTAACTCTAGCACTTACCCCATGCTAGACAATCAAGAATCAGCAGGCGACCCACCTGATCTCATTTTGTAAGGAGGAAGGGATTCTGAGTGATATTCCTCTGTTAATGTTCAACATTCAGGGAGTGTAACAAAGACACATGGTGGCGAAAGCACACACTGTAATCTTCTCAGTAAATATCAACATTCATCTTTGAATGATAAGATGATTTAGATGGTTGACGCCATGGCTCCAAGCTTGAAATTGATTCTGTACACAACAGCGCATAAGCTACACTTGCAAAATACATGTGCAGCAGGCATCAAATCATTCAAAAGAATCTGCTCTTTCTCTGTCTTTTGTATCAAATTGAAGGAGGTCTTGGCCAGAAACTGCACTTAGCCGTACCTAAGACAACACTGCCCCCTGCAGACTAACTGATGGAAAGCACATCATGCAGGACCTTTATGCAACTGTGAACCAAGAACAACTGTTAACAAGTTTTCAATACTACAGCGTAGGATTTTACTGGTTCGTTGTATATTTTAGGTTAAACCAGGCAGTGGAAGAATGGAAATGAGATACCATACTTTCTAAAAAATGTATTGGTTAATGTTACAAAATGTATGAAACTATTGTACCCTGGAAATGTTGAGGGACCTCTGGTTTGCTCATTATAGAGCACCATATTTCGCAGAAGCTGCAGTGGAAGTGACACAACACTAAACTACATACACTTCAACAAACCATGAAGCACTATTAAAAAGGTAGCCATATTATTTTACGATTACTCAAAATTACTACCAAAACACGGAGAATCTCAACCACTGTGGGTCAAGCACATTCATTGACTTTTCTACCATCACCCAAGGTGGCTATTTGCGACGGCAGTCCTACGGGTTCATTAGAAAAACTATTATGACTAACACAACAAATCACCTCACCCACCACTGCACAAAAGGGTGGGTGAGAGAATCTATCTTACTGTTGTTTACTTTCTTCAGTGTTTTTGAAAGGATACTCTCCCTCTCCTCTACTATGATCACGTTCTGTTGCTCCAGCTTCTGGATTTTGCCCTCAAAGTTTTCCTGTTCGTGTTTCAGGCGCTGCACTGACTCTTCCTTCTCCTCGCTCACTCTGGAGAACAGGAAACAACTGAGTTAGAGCACAGGTGCTCTACAAAATTATGTCCAAATGTGACAAAGGATGAAAAAGGAATTCAAAATTAAACAATTCAAAACAGGTATCACTTCTTACAAAAGTTTTGAATAGTATCATTTTAAAACCACAAGAGGTGCAATATTCATTAAGAGTAATGTCAATACATTTTGATTTTGTTATGGAATATGTAGTGATGCAGTGATTTATTGGCCTAAAAATTGTACTCAACAAATTTGAGGGAAATAATTGGGTAATATCCTTCAAAATATCGAGTTATCATTTTTGAGATATGTTGAGATTGAATATTATATCATCCAAATCATATTGCAACAGCAAAACCAGTAAAAAAATCATCATAATTTAGTCCAAGGCTATAAAGTTAAAATATTTTCCTTTAGGAATCATCTTCCGCTTTGTTAATACCATACTCAGAATAACATTTGCCACTTGCTATTTAAATCTGATCCCAGTTGGTCACCTTAAGACCTTATCTGAAAACCTTGGTTAAATGGCATTTGATGTGCTACAAGATTCAAATGATGTTCTTCATATTTGATAACTCTGCAAGACTAAACTGTCTGCAAAAAACATTAGGGATTATATTGTGAAAATAATTGCTGCATAGCGCCATCTCCTGGAACAATCCATTTCTGCAGTTCTGTGGTTCCAAATTGAAAGAAATCCATTCATTTTTTTTTAACGAAATGATGCACTAGGGATAAACTACAAAACCAGAATAAGATGTACATTCATTTTTTTTTTAAGGTTTTTGTATTTGTTGCAGTTTAGTTTTGCATTTTTTGAAAATATTGTTTTTATTTAGTTTCAGTTTACAACAAAATGCCCCCCTGCTTATTTTGTTTTAGTTTAACTTCACAACAATACCCCAAATCATACATTCATATGAACTTTTTAACGTCCCACATTTACAGTTTTCATATCCTGCGTAATACCTGGCTAGTTCTTCAATGAGATTTGCAATCCGGCGCTTATCTTCAGGACAGAGGTCCTTCAAACAGACCTGGCTTTTACTTCTGCTGGTCTCAGAGGATACCTGTGCAAATTAAGATAAAACATTAAATATATTTACAGAAACTAATAATGGAATCCTGTCAGCGTCGATAAAAAACGATAGTCAGATTATCCATAAACCCTCTTCCATATACAACTATCTTACATACATGGAGGGAACAGAAAAATAACCTACATTAAACAATGGTTTACCTGTGTTGAGGTGAGAAAAATACCAGAGGATGGAAACAGGGCGTGCTCTGTAGCTGCAGTCGCACTGTGATGGTCTGGCACCTTTTCCTTGGTATAAACACCAGAGGGCTCATTTTGTAAGTGGCCTTGATTCCTGCCCCCTTTCTTTAGTGAGTTGCCATTCCTGCAGTCAGAGCTACGCCGGGCTCGCATCTTGGTACCTCTCATACTGGATGTACTGGTGCTGCCTGATCCAAAACTGAAAGGGGTCTGAGTCTTCCTTTCTCCTTCCAATCCTGAGAGTGTGGGGGGATACAAATTAAGAGCCATTTGTTTAATAGATACTTAGTATTTCATACTGTGTTCAGAAAGTATCCATACAATGTCATTGAGACTCACCAGGAACGAACACCAGAGGCTGTTCATCATCTGAAACAGTGCACAAGGCAAAGAGAATACTTCATTTACAGTGGTGTAAAGTAGCCAAGTAGATTTACTCATGTACTGTACTGAAGTACCATTTTGAGAGGGACCTGTACTTTACTTGAGTATTTCAAATGTTTGCTACTTCTACTCCACTACAATTCAGAGGTATATCGTGTACGTAATGCCATGAATAAATTATTCTAGAATGGGCCAATCTGCCTAATAATTACTTCTACTTTTGGTACTTTAAGTATTTCGATGCTAATACTGTAGTACTTTGTGGTAGTTCTACTTTTACTCAAGTACAAGATATGAGTACTTTTCCCACGTCTGCCAACATGACGCTGAACATTCATACTATTATCAAAGCGTGTCATATATAAAAGACAATGTTAACGTGACCTAAAATAAATACTTTAACATGTAATGTACCATATGTAGCATTAACTGTTAGCTCATTTAGTAAACGTAACGCTAGCTGTCTCACTTCCTCAGGAATAACAACTTCTAGCATTGACACAAAAGTAACATCTACGAAACTTTTATAGAAACCTTTTACAAATTACAATCATATATTTTGGAATGGTCAATGTACAAGCAAGCTAGCATAGTTTAGTCAAAGTTAGCGTACCGCCATCCATCCAAAATATCCCCGAATTTGCAGTTTTTGTTGCCGCCGCCATGTTGAAACAACCGCCACCACTCCCAGGGAGCCAAGCGTTGCTAAGGAATCCTATCCCCGCCTTTCACTTTCAACTCAACAGTCCATTGGCTAACCTGTAACAAAGACTGGTTTCTATTGGCTTAAACATGTGTCAGTACTGCGTCAAAGCTGCATCTGTCGCTTCCTGTGTTGTCAGCTCAGAGGTGAACGATACAGGGCAGATAGCTGCAACGGATGCTTGCTCTGTTTGGTGCACATTTGTGAATACCAAATGGAAGAGACTAAAGAAAGCTTAACCTTTAAAGGTGTTGCTGAGAGACTGACGCTTGGCATTACTCGAATACTCGGTGTGTATCATTGTGATTTTTGCTATGAAACTAGCTAGTAACGTTAATGGTCTTGTTAGCTAGCAAACAGATGGGGCAGTTAACTAATACATGTTATGAATATGTCCCTATTTTGACAGAGAACATGCCAGGTGTGGTCGATGTGCGTTTTGTTGAGAAGGAGCCTGCAGAGAAGAGGAGCCTCCTGTCATGGGAACAGGTGAAAGATGGAGCAATTTATGACCAATACATTTGCTCTGTCATACATTGTTATCATATTACCATGCTCTATTTTTTCCTCAGAAAAACACTTGTATTTTGCCAGAGGACCTGCGAGATTTCTATCTGACAACTGATGGATTCACGCTTACCTGGAGTGTTAAACTAGACAGTAGGTGTCATCATTAGTTTGTCCATCTCATAGAAGTCTTAATATATTTGAATGAAAGGCTACTATTAAGACAACATGATAAAGGTCAATGAAAAATAGATTTTTTTCCACCAATGCCTTTTGTGAAGAAATGACAGCTCTGTGATACAATCCTAACTGTGTGTATGTGTTTGCCTTCCAGATGAGTGTGTTCCCCTGGGATGCATGATGATAAACAGTGTGTCCACCCTGTGCCCACTCCTCCAACCAGTATCACTATTCTCTCTGCCCAATGCCCCCTCGCTGGCAGACCTGGACTGGGAGGAGGACGGCGCAGAAAGTGGTAAACCTGTCCGAGCCTCATGTGGGCTCAACTCAACAATTACAGCCTGTCAACTTTGATTAAGTCTGTTTGTGTGCTCAGTTGTGCAGAAAGCAATCTAATGAATGAAATGTTGATTGCAAAGTTAATATTTATTCCAGACTCATTAATGTTTTGTGTGCCAGGGAGGGGTCGTGCTCCCGCTGCACCCCACTTTGATTCCCGGAGCCGCATCTTCGAGCTGCACTCCTGCGGTGTGAATGGGAAAGTGTGTCTAGTCTACAAAAACTGCACTACAGGTGATCTCACAAACTTTCAACTTTTTAGGATTTCTCCAAACAACAATGTTACAATTTTAAAAACAATGATCAATCTATAATATGTTACAATAAATGCAGCATAATGTATGTGTTGTTCTTTGACTTTTCTCAGGTGTGGTAGCCCAGCAAAGTGACATTTGGTTCCTTGATCGCTCGCTGTGTTGGCATTTACTGACCGCAACCTTCACCTCCTACTACCGACTGATGATCACCCACCTTGGTCTACCTGAGTGGCAGTATGCCTTCACCCCGTACGGCCCCAGCCCCCAGGCCAAGGTGTCTAATCCCTCTTTATATGATAAAGTGTTGTGGTTTAAATGACGTTTGCAAAACTCACCTGAGTTATACATTTTGTATTATTAATAGGGATAACTTTGAAAGTGGTATTCTTTTTTCATCTCATAAACTCTACCTCAACCAGTTTCAATGCCATCTTTTTCCCTCTATTGAAATACTAAGCTGTTAATAATACATTTTTACGGATGCACTATGCTTTACATAGCTATCTACAAAACATCAGGCTCATCCTGTGAAAGACAGATTTGACTTCCCTAAAAGAAGGAATACAGCCACAACATGACTAAATGTTGCTACTTTATTAATTTAAACTTTTAATAATAACTATATACAACTCAACACTTAATGTAGACTATACCTTAATGATAGTTGTTTATATTTAGGTCAACCGTAAAGGATGACTTTGGAGTATCTTCTTCTTCTTTTTCCCTGAAATATGATCATTTTTATTTTATTTTCTATGCCAGTATTGATCAGATAGCATGACTGATTATAGCATGAGCTCATCCCTAATTTAAAAAAAAACACACGCACTTGAAGTCATTGCATGTGTAATAAAATCAATTTTATTTATTCAGTTTCATTCACAGTAAACTACAAAGTTGTCTCATTTAACACATTAAGACATAACACTTACACAAGGCCTAACAGTTTTTAACCCTATTCATCAGAAATATAAACATTTATTTCTGTTCACTGAAGGCCAAATGTTTCAGCGAATGCAAATTACAGAGCAGGAAAAATGTTCTAAGAAAGTGATGGGGCTTTTGCCATCTCCTTGTAGTATGCCTACTGTTGTGCTCAGTTCTAAAACCACATTGCACAGGTTATTTTATGATTTAGTCTACATAACTATGAACAGCATGTAAACAATCTACCTCCTGTTCCCTCTGCAGCAGTGGGCATCACTGTACCAGCCTCTGACTTTCAGCAGTGAGCTCAACTTTGCGGATCCTGCAGGAGATTCCCACCTCAACAAGCTGGATCCTACAAAGGCCTTCAAAGGAAAAGCCAAGGTACCTGTCTTAAAGAAGAAGCAGTCAACACCATGCAGCCTAGGGAGCACAGCAAAGAGCCAAAGTAGCGCAGTGAGACACCACAGTGGGGGAAAGCGGTGAGAATTTTTCCATCAGAGGAAAACCTTTCAACCAGCTTTTCCGTCTAACATGGGTTAGTGGAGCAGCTCGCAAGTCCTTCAAGGGTCGGGTTTGGTTAGCTTCGCTAGGCTCAATGAGAGCATTTTGTCCAAAAGCGAGTCTGGAATGGTGCACGTCTGAATGGATACATAAGAAGAGTTTATATATTTATTTATATATAAATAATCCTGACATGTTTTGAGTGCTGTCACTAATAGAGACTCTTTAATACTTAAGTAATCAGAATAAATAAATATCTGTATTTATCATTGTATATATTTACATTTCAAATGTCTCTTACAACAATCACATACAATATATCATATAAACACATTTAAAATAAGTGTGAAATTGGTAAATAAAAAACAGGAAGAATACAAATAATACTTTTTCAGTTGGGCAGTAAGTGCTTGTATGACTAAAGTCATAGCTCTAGTTACAAACTCTAAATAGTTTAGTCCTGAGTTTTCTATCTAATAATGACATCTGCTCTGACAGTGATGCGGTTTAATTCCAGCATTTAAGGAAAATAATGTGCTAGCTTTAGTGCTCTTGTTGCCGTGGCAGACTTATTAGACATTCAGGATTAATTTGTTTTTTGTTCAAGTACTTTGGAACTCCTACAAAGTTAATCAAAACACATTACCTAATCTAATCTTACATGTTTGAGCTTCACGCTGCTGTGCACTGGATTTTTTGGAAAGATTAATGTGTGTTTTATCTTTGCTTGTGCTGCTGCCATTTCAAGCTGTGAGGAGCAAACTCCTATTGTTCCTATTTTATTTTAATTGTTTTAGTTTGGATAGAATGCTTTTTACTTTGCTTCACATGTAGTGCCCAAGCTCATGTTAATCGTCTCCTGTTGATTGTTATAATGAAAGATATTAAAGGTGTCTTCCAATGTATTACAAGCTGCTATTACCTCAATAAAAAAACAAGTATAAGTGTGTTTTTTCATCTTCTATGCATTAAAATTGCTATTAGATTTCAACGTTAGTCTAAATAGCTGAACTAGTGCGGATTGAAGAAATAAGTGCTAGATGTCAGCCTCACGGTGTTCTATATATGTTGCTGTCTGACAAGTTCAGAAACTGCATTCAAGTAACTAAGGTTGGTGGTGAAATGAATCACATAAAATAGACTAACCTTTTTTAAATAGCTTGAGATGTTTTGAGCCATTCTTTCTTGTTGTAAAAGTCCTAATGTCCTCCATCTTTGATATTTGTTTTTGGTCTATTACTTTAACCCTTAGCCATCATGGAATGCTACACACACATATCACACAGTTGAGGGTGTCAGACACATACATTGGCACAGATTATCTTCTGTTTCTTCAGGGGGGCAGCCTTCTCATCAAACTCCTCCATCAGCCCATCACCCGGCTCAGAGACGTGGGGGTGGTGCATTTCCACCAACACCTTGTACAGTCCTGCACCCAGTACTCCTCCAATCGGGGGCGCAACCAGTGGCACCCACCACCAACCATTTCCAGCCCTGCACAGATACAAACAGACAGTGGCGGCGCCAGAGTATTTTTGTTGGGTAATCTATGGTAGGGCTAACCCATACAGTGGTGGGGCTCAAGTCAGTATTTGTAATGTAATTACATACACGCTATATCGCCTCCTTGACAGTGAAACGCCAAGCGTGAGGCTTTTATGGGATGCAAACTCATCAGGTATGAAAAAGGTGACAAGGATCCGAGCCCCCCGCCCCTACCCCACGGAATATCGGCTTTAAAATGAGGAATAACAGGATGTTAGCAGTCAGAACAACTAAAGCAGCAGGTAATAATAACAGAAACGCCAAAGAGTCACATCTAATAGAAATATATAAAAGCATTTATTTTAATTGTGTAGCAGTCAGTTTATATTTTTGGCAGCACTGTTGAGCATTTTGAAAATGTATTTTCATGCCTCTGTGCAAGGCGTAGTCTTTCTATCTGTATAGCCACTGGTGTAACTAAGTTCATAAACTCAAGTAATATACTTGGGTACAATGTTGAGCTACTTGTACTTTACTTAATTATTTCAATGTTTTGCTACTTTGTACTTCTTCTCCTCTACAGTTCAGAGGTACATGGTGTACTTCTTCTCCTCTACAGTTCAGAGGTAGCCTACATGGTGTACTTATTCTCCTCTACAGTTCAGAGGTACATGGTGTACTTCTTCTCCTCTACAGTTCAGAGGTACATGGTGTACTTTTCCTTCACTCCATGTATTTAATACCTTTAGTTACTTCACAGATCTGGATGAATGATGTGAAATCTAATCAAGTGTTAACTCAGACTTTAGTTCCACCTGGAGTAAATTCTCAAGCTACCCTGCAGTATACAAAGTCATTCAAACTAGCTGCAACTTTACCAGCTTTGAGAACACTTTCATGATCAATCATTATAAAACATATCATATATTATTCTGAAATGGACCAATCTGCACAACGACTACTTTTACTGTCGCTACTTTCACTATATTTTGATGAGAATACTTTTCTACTTTCACTTGAGGAACATTTTGAATGCAGGACTTTTACTGTAACAGAGTATTCCTACACTCTGGTACTTTTACTCAAGTACAAGATCTGAGTACTACTACTCTTACTCAAGAACAAGATCTGAGTACTTCTACTTTTACTCAAGTACAACATCTGAGTACTTCTACTTTTACTCAAGTACAAGATCTGAGTACTTCTACTTTTACTCAAGTACAAGATCTGAGTACTTCTACTTTTACTCTAGTACAATATCTGAGTACTTCTACTTTTACTCTAGTACAAGATTTGAGTGCTTCTACTTTTACTCAAGAACAAGATCTGAGTACTTCTACTTTTAATCAAGTACAAGATCTGAGTACTTCTACTTTTACTCAAGAACAAGATCTGAGTACTTCTACTTTTAATCAAGTACAAGATCTGAGTACTTCTACTTTTACTCTAGAACAATATCTGAGTACTTCTACTTTTACTCTAGTACAAGATCTGAGTGCTTCTACTTTTACTCAAGTACAAGATCTATACTTATACCACCTCTGTGTTTATAGCCTATGAACAAAACTATTAGAAAACGAAGGCTAAAGCTAACGTTAGCAGATAGTGACAATGTATGCTAGTTAGCCAGCTCAACGATAATATTGCGACAGAAACACTTTTCAGTGCACATCACGCTCTGCCGCTCCGATAGGGAGCCCTGCTCTGAACACCTGAACGGCCCGTTCTAACAGCAGTTCACCAGCGGTCCAGTCTGTACCACAGTGACTCCGGACCACAGTTAATATTAACGAACGCACCCGTAGGTAATTTAGCTGCTGAAGCTAGACCGTCATCGCGGCCGAAGATTACTCCGGGTATATATAAATATTTTTATTGCAGATCTACACGAATCACACACACGACCTATTTTGGATTCAAAACGGCGAATTTCGCAGAAAGGTGACAAGTTTGCATCCCTAGTCTCCTTTTATCAGCTAAATTACATCGAGAGCAACAGGTCTCACATCAAACAAGAGGTGGACGAGGGCAAGTACTGCGGCATGGTGATGCTGGACCTACAAAAGGCTTTCGACACTGTCAATCACCCCATTCTGATTGACAAGCTAAAAGCAATTGGTTTTGATAAACTATCGGTGAGCTGGATGCAATCCTACCTGGAGGGGAGAGAACAGATGGTGGAGGTAAACGGTACTCTGTCCCCCCCCCTCCCAGTGAGCTGTGGTGTTCCACAAGGAAGCATATTAGGTCCGTTACTGTTCCTAATTTATGTAAATGACATGTCATCAGCATGTGACTGCAACTTGTTCCTGTTCACGGACGACTCAGCCCTGCTGGTCTCCGACAGGAGAGGGTTGCAGGTTGAAAAAACCCTCAGCTCCGAGCTCGGCAGAATCTGCACCTGGCTCGCCGATAATAAATTATCATTACACCTGGGTAAAACAGCGTCCATTCTCTTCGGTTCGAAACATCATCTCAGCAAATCCGACGACTTCTCAGTTGCAGTGGGCGACATTATTGTCACAAGTAAGAAGGAAATTACATACCTAGGATCTATTCTTGAGGCAAACCTCTCCTGTGACAAAATGGCATCCAATGTAATAAAAAAAGTCAATCAAAGAACTAGATTCCTATACCAGATCTCCTCTCTGGTAAACAAAAACACCCTGAAAACTCTGGCAGGAGCACTCATTCAAGGGTACTATGACTATGCTTGCACGTCATGGTACCATAGCACCTCCAAGGCGCTAAAAATAAAACTTCAAACATCGCAAAATAAACTGGTCAGACTACTGCTTGACCTTTCATCTAGAACCCACCTCACCTCTGCCCACTTTGACAACCTGGCTTAGAGTAGACGACAGAGTACAGCTACTTGCAATGGGCCTGGTCTACAAGATCCACTACACCTCTATGGTACCCATGCCATGTACATGTCAAAATTCTTCCCAAAGGTCAAGGAATACCATGATCATAACACCAGAGGGAGCTCCACAAATCATGTGAAACCCAGATTTGGCACAAAAAAGGGGGAATACACGTTTCGCAATTATGCCACATCAAGGTGGAACGCTCTTCCCACAACTGTAAAGGAAAGTAAAACTATACTTACCTTCAAAACCTCTCTTAAAGAGCACCTTCGGGGGAGAGCATTGCAAAACTGGCCCCGGTAATGGTACAAATCTCAACCTGTCGTTCAATGGACAGCTTCCCCCCCCCCCCCCATCTATGTATATACTCGCATTTTAGACTCTGTTACTAACTGTATATCTGTAGACTTGGTATGTCTTAAATGTCCGGTTAGGATGTATTAGAACGAAATCTAAAATGAAAATTGTAAACAAGCAATCTGTATGTAAAAAACTACCTGTATGTAAATTGTAAATAAGCCATCTGTATGTCAAATATGTCTTATATGTCTTAAATGACATGATGAATTGGAAATGGGGGACCCTGATGTAAACAAGACGAAAGTCTTTCTCTGGTCTGCATCCCCTTAACAATTGTATGTTTTGAGCTGTACTGTACTGTACCCAATATACAAGCTGTTAATAAACTTTTCAATCAATCAATCAGGTGTGAGTTAAACAATACAATAGCCTATTCTGCTAATTCCATGTTGTTACAACATGCTAAGCAGCGGCAGAAACAAGAAAAGTTGGCATATAGAATTTACAAGGAGAGGGAGAGAGAAAGGGAGAGTGAGGGAGAGAGACAGAGAGAGAGACACGGGTAAACAGAGAGAGACTGACACAGCACACAACAGGTGGCCTGTGTCTCTATTGTCATACAAAACACTTTTTCAAATGACTATTACAAAATATATTCAAAACTCACTATTCACTCTTCAGGTGGGTCGTGTGACTCTGGCACCTGTTCGACGTGTACCTCAATGCGAGGGCGTTTAAGAACAAATCTATCCATCCGAAATATACAATTAATCCTAGAAGTTTGGGGAGTTTGGGGACTTTTCACTGTGAACGCGACAGGCTCTGAACGCGACGTATCAGTAATGCATGACGCAGCAGACCCAACGTTTCGTTGCTCTGATTGGCTGCAGGTTGATCTGACCGCGGTCGTGCTGATATTATAACGCCAGAGAATTTTCACACCTGTAGCTGTCATCCTCGTGGATTCATCTTCTTATTACAGACACATGCATTTCCTAACATTTGGTCTATATGCTGTAAAATGCATTATCTCTTCGATTTACACACGGCATCTATTGCACGTCTGTCCGTCCTGGGAGAGGGATCCCTCCTCTGTTGCTCTCCCTGAGGTTTCTCCCATTTTTCCCCTTAAACTGTGGGTTTTCTCTGGAAGTTTTTCCTTGTACGATGTGAGGGTCTAAGGACAGAGGGTGTCATTTTTTCTCATACTGATATTCTGAACAATCTGTGCTGTTGTATTTGCTGTAAAGTGTCTCTACTGTAGGCTATTTTTATTATATGTACAGCACTTTG